GCCCAGTTGACTTCTCCTTTAAGCTTTGGGACGATTTTATCAATGTCAGATTCATTTCGACGTCAAAATTGAAGTCGAATGTTGTCTGTTGTGCGCGAGAAGACGACCGACGGCGAGAGGCTAGCGGCGAGCCTTCTGGTGTATCAGACATACTGCTTGGTAGCAAGTAGTCAAGAAATTAAGGGGTATGATTGGCTTGCTACGGCGGGTAGCAAGTCAGAAGTGGGGTTCGACGATCCGATTTTTGGAATGTCGAAAGGGGTTATCGGCAACTATGGTTGGTTGACGATGATGATCCACCTAACATTAGATGGTTCAAAAGGGGTTAGACAAGGTGTTAATCTTGTCTTCTTTTGGTGAGGGACTCTGATTTGTGTGGTCAAGAACCACACTGAGTATCCAGACCGTGGCGACGCAGTACACCAAAAAAGTGGTTAAACCAGGGTTTCGAAGGTTGCATTACACAATAGCTTCGAAAGCAACGGCGCTCATAACCTGAGAGAGATGATATTCAGTCTACAAATGAAGCTGTAGATGAAACTGGAGATCTCTGGATGCGTTGTAGAAGAGAGAAGCTATCTACAGGTTTAGCTAGACTAAGTACTAGGAGCAAACAAAGAAGTCATGTGACTTCTAACACACCGCCAACCTCGTATCTAGCATTCTCCTCCCCAACTCATGAGGCTATCGCAAGCACGAATCAGGATATAGAGATTGATCAGTTGCTCAAAGCTGGGTTCAACCCAAAATTTTCTTCCGTCTGAGGAAATGCACACCAGCATAACTCCCCGTATAATACATTTCCTGCGAAGTGAACCCTGGAATGAAGTGACGCACAGCATCCTCGCAAATGATCCACGTGTTGAATTCAGAATCCGCACCCTATAGCTCCTTTTTCACGTATTGCACGCGGCGACAACATATTTAATGCAGGCTCTACAACGTGTTCAGCGGGATATTCCCTTTGAATTCGCCAACACGACGGTCTTGGGACATGCGCTCTTTCACATCGCCTGTATGTCGACTACGATCCAGAATTACACATCCAGGACGCGCGAATGCATCCATAATCTCCGATATAAGTCCCAAAAGTCTGTATCAGGAGAGCCATACGGGTTGGAGCTTCCGGCTCAAATGGTGTTGGGTCATCTACTGTCCTCGGGAGTTGAGCAGTGCGTGACAGCACAGAACTTGGTCCTGAACATTCCATTGCATGATCTGGCCGGGGGAACATCTACTCAACGAGGAAACAATCACGCTGCTTCTTGGCCAGTCTGATGGCGAGATGGTGTAGCGAGAGATTAAGAATTGGTGTGGAGATGCTGCCGAGGAGACTTGGGAGCAGAATCGTCGAGTCAGAACGAGAGAAGACAATTGGTTTGGAGGAACAACACATGAAGCATTCAAGATGTCACACTTGCGAGTAGGAATGTCCAGCATGTGTAAACTAAAACCCAGCAAGTGCATTGCCAGGCTGGCATGCTTGAGGTCATCAGTTCTCCATGAACGACGAACAAGTTATTCCACATCTCACAAAGGCAGAAGAATCCCTCTCTGGATACAACAAAGACGCGCGTTGTTTTGTGCTGTGCCGATTATATCAATCGTCTTTGAAGATCTGCGGGATATTCGACTCGGGTATTACCGGGGTAGTTGGTGGGCCCAGTTTTGTGACACACAGCTGTCAGACCTGAGGTCGTGGGTTAAGGTGCCCCGGAAGTATTGATGCATCGCTAATGATGAAGTTTGGTCCTTGGAATTGATAATTGACTTGTCAATGGGCTTCGTCTTCAGGGCAGATCTCAGGAGTGTCAGCTGAAGAAGACACGTTTTCCTGCATGGACCTTCCGAAAACGGTAAGCTCGCGTTAACATCCCATTGACTTTTGAACTGGACCGCCCGCACAGATCATAAGATAGATTCTCCAAATAAAGTGAGGCAATTGACCCTGGTGAATTTCCCTATAGGAGGTTAGAATACATTTCCAAGGCTATTTATGTCCACTGAGATCTTTGTTCGGCCAATCACAGTGCGAGGATGTACATAGCACCACGCTCGCACAAGCATATATGAGGGAATTGCCGTACTCCCTGGAGCCTTTGATCCTTGTTTTTGTCTTAATCACCTTCCCCTCAGTAACATGTCTCCGACCGAGAAGCAAAAAGACCTCTCCCACCGTCATCGTTCGTTCAAGGGATGCTGGACCTGCAAGAAAAGGAGGATCCAGTGCGATGAACTACGCCCGACCTGCCAAAAGTGCAATGACCGGGGTCTCACTTGCGAAGGATATGAGATTAGATTGCGCTGGGGAACTGGGATCGCGTCCCGGGGGAAATACTCGGGTGCCGAGAAGCCCGTGAAAGAGTCTACCCCCCCACGGTCGAAACGACGATGCGATATGCGAGTTAAGGAGGACAAATATTCTTTAGGCGACGGAAATGACCAGCCTGATCTAGTCTCTCAAACTGCTACGATAAAAGGTATTGCTAATGGATCAAAGCCCTTTGTAGTTCTGAACTCACATGTGCGTCTAGATCAAGATCGTCAATCAGTTGCCGAACGAGCAACAGTCAATATACTCAACTCACCATGGGAACCGGGTTCTCCACGGAGCTCGGCTATCAACAGGCATTTTGAGATACCGGCATCCTCGGCCACTTTACCCATACCTACTATGTATGACCGGGGTATAGATGCGTCAGGTCAATATGCCCAGAAAGCGGGCCGACGGAGTATTTTGGCTTGACTTGAGCTTGGATTCTGGATTTTTGTACTTCAGCATCGCAACCCACATTGGCTCTTATGAATTTATGACGTTCGCCACCTATTCAATCTCTCTAATTTATGTACAAAATTATTGTTACCACATTAAAGGAGTATATCCTACTCATCCTCTCGAATGGTCTCCCTACCCCCTTTCCGCCACTTCTCCAATTGATCAGTCATTTGGGAAACCTCAGATCGATGACCTGCTCGCCGAGAATTCATCTTGTCAAACGATTCATTAAAATTCGACGACCGACTGCTCATCACATCTTCAATCGATGTTGGCGATGCTAATGACAGTGAAGATGGGCGCCGGGTGTGACCTGTTGGATAGGAATGCTCTGAGTCTGTCTCACTAGGAGTCTGCGGAGAGACGGGTGACTGGGAGCCTCGTCTCAGATCCGGTTTGGGCCCACGTTCGGGCTCAAGTTTAAAGTAGGCGGTATTGAATGATGTGGGAAGCTCAACAGGTGATGAATCTATGTGAAAGTCAGGGCTAGTCCTCTGCAGTATCCACTTGCTAGTAAGGGTAAAATAAAGCCAGCGATTGACCTGCCTTGCATCTCATATAGCGCATCTCCTCCTGATTCCACCGTGGCAGGGGTCACGGGAGAGACGAGGGAATCTGGCACAGTTGAAACTTGTGTTATCGATGGCTGGGTTGTTGACGGATATGTTGACGTGGTCTGCGCAGTCTGCACCGTCTCCGCCGTATTCAGGCCCGTTGATGTAGATGCTGGCCCTGGTCCAGGGGAGACTGGGCCGCTCGCATACATCCATTCTGGAGGGCGGTTTTTGGGCTCAGTCTCTACAGCCTCGGTTGTAACTGCCGCAGACTTGCGTTGACGGGGACTTCGGCGATAAAACAAGAGTCCGACAAGGATTGCAATGGCGAGCAGACCCAAAACAGCACCGATTACTCCACCAGCCCAGCTGGGGAATCCGCTGGCCCCTTTGTGATCTCTGGAGGTACTGGCACTGGTATTGCTGCTGGTGCTACTGTACGGCCAAAAGGTCTCGATAGTCTTATTATAATTTCTGTCGAACACTCCCGCCAGAGAGCCGTTAGTCCATGATTTTGGGGCGGTTATGGTTGCACCTCCATCCGAGCTAATAAGCTGTAAGCCATGGTAATCCACATTCTTTGCTTCTAGTTCTGCACTCACTTGCCACCTATCAATTTCGTCACCGCATCTGGCACTTTATACTCGCTCCAATTTGTGGGGTCATAGCTGTCCTCAAACGTCAGGGTGTTGAGATTGAAGTTGACAATGATACCACCCTCCAGGCACTGAGTTGAATCGACATGCTGCCCTCCGATCGCCAGCATCTGATCAGGATATACCTTAATGCATTGGTGACCGCTGCGACTGTGTGTGCTTGTACCACTGTATGCCTTCGCCCACTTGAAAGAAGGCAGAGACAGTATATACACGTCGTCCGATGGATTGGCGTTATAGTTGAGACCATCGTATCCTCCATAGATGTATATATTATGCGATGACTCGTCAGCCGCACTAGCAAGCACAGAGCAGAACTCCGTTAACTGTGGCGGTATATCACCCGTCGTGTTTTGGAGATACCAGGTTCCACTTCCGACATCAAAGACGGAGACCGTCTCCATGAACGTCGGGCTAATCCTTTTGCTCTCTTCTGTTCGTGTTAAGTTTGATTTTCTATTCCGGAAAAACTGAATGGGTTCCACCACTCCGCCGATGGCGACTAAAACTCCGGACTCGGATACAGGGACCCATACCAGTTCCGCGTTGGAACGGGCAGGAACATAGCTTGGCAGTGTACTGTTTTTCCATTTTCCATTGCTCATCGACGACATGTCTAGCGTGATCAGCGTGTCGGCCGTTTGGTTGGATTGAAGCTGGTTTAAATTGAAGTCGCCCCAGTCCGGTGCGCGCATTCCACTAAAGTAAAAGCCCAAGTTCTCTCTTGGAGCTGATGCGGCAGCACCATTGGTAATGTATCGTGTGACATTCGTGGAAAGGTATTCTTGGTTCCAACCGGGTGCCCATGAGCTTCTATAGGCGCCATACTGGTACGCAGCGTATGACAGGACTTGATTAGCAGGCGGAGGATCGAAACTATCCGTATTCCGAAGCATCCCTCTGCCATAAGTTGTGTCAGAATAAGTAAATTGGTAAGGGAGAGACGAGGGACATCAACCCATAGAGATAGAACTCGTTGTCATTGGAAAATATCGTTCCTTCAACGTAGTTCGGAGCTATGCTAGTAGCCCCCCCGGCAACGGACAGGTTGTTTAAGAGATCCATGAAGTCTGATGTAGTGTTGAAGGAAGTTTTGAGGTTCAGGTAATAGATGGTGGCTTCCAAATCTGCCACTAGTTAGCCATGGATATGTCAACATCTATTTGGTCGCGCCTACTGTTATCTGCCTGTAGTTCAACGCAACCGTCATCGTATCCTCTGTAATTATCAGTGAAAGCAGATATTGACCACGTAGAATCTCATACTTCTGGTACCATATCTCCCCACCGTCGAAGTAGATTGTATCGCGCAGGATATTGACTACCGGTTTCAGTAACAAAAGAACTTGTTTTTTTTGAAAAATAAATAGACAAGAAGTGCTTACCACGTAGGCCTTGCCAGCTGCACATAGAAACATTAATTTGGGTTGAAAATGTGCTACAAACGGCCATTGCGCAGTCTATTATGACCAGCAGGGTTAGCACAGTCCCTAAAAGAAACCACATTTTTCATTTGAAGAAATAACGGTAGAGCTAATCACCAAGTTATCACGATTTGAAAATGACAAGTCTCACATTTTGATTAATTGCGGACATCTCGACTCCAACTGCAAAAAGCGAGCGGGCGGGGCCTTTGGGAACTTGCGATGCGGCTTTGTTGATCTTCTTTGTTTCCCATTGCCCCTCGTCCTGAATATGAAATCGGCCAAGCGAAAAGGGGGAACGATTAGAGGCCGATGTAACACGCCTGCTCAGCTCATGGTCCGACCGAACTGATCATTGCCATGATTGTCTTGCTGCATGTCTAGAGTCACGTAGCTATATAGGAACGACAACCGAATCATCTGAAAGGACCCCATTGCGTGCTTGAGTTGGCCCCTAATTGTAGTCGAGACATATTTGAAAGGGCTCGGAATGGTGTGAATTTCCTCTCAATGTGCATTCGCGCTGGGGCTATGTTGTATGCTGTGTTGCTTGAGCCGACACCCATCAGGGGAGAATTTTGAGCCTCGAAGCATTGGGCTTTCTTTCATGAGCGACGGGGGCCGTGAATATGCGTTGGATGTCTTTTGATTCCTTTGACTCAGTTTCTTTGTTAAGTTTGTACACCCTACTGGTCATCATCGGAATTATTTCTTCTACAGACCGGCAAAGATGAAGGACGCGGTTTGGTTGTCACTGTTGGTGATTGTCTTCGGTTTGGTGACATCAAGCTATAGCAGTCTAATCAAGAGACTACCCGCACTGTCGGCAGAGCGAGAAGATGGATCAATAGCCATAGTAAGAGTCGGGGTTACACTTTGGCTCGGTGATGGTGAGTCGTGCACTGCTGAAACTATCACCGGCACTTCTACGCAGACTGCAAATATTTCTCCAGGGGTCACTACGTTTACCATCACCGAGGTCACTACTAAGGGTATTATTGGTTGTCACTATGCCCCGACGCTGAGCGCAGTCGCCGATGTTGGCATTGGACCAGCGACTGCTGCAAAAGCCGCTATAGCACTGCCGGCAAATGGACAAGTCAAAACGGTCACAGACTACACAACGGAGACGTTTACATCGTGCACATGCACAGATGACTCGATTACCACGACGACCACCTCGAGCGTGTTTGTGACAACTACCTCCAGTGTGCTTGTGATGACCACGAGCGTACCTGTGACAACCACCTTTAAAACTGCCACAAATACCTCTAGTGTGCCTACAACGACCACCCCGACTATGCCTACGATGACTACCTCGGTCACACCTATTATGTCTACCTCGAGTATGCCTGAGATAGCCAGCTTAAGTGTATCTACAACGACTACCTCGACTGTGCCTAAGATAGCTAGCTCGGGTGTACTTGCAACGACCACCCCGACCTTAACTGGAACAACTACACCAACAACTTCGACCACGATTAGTGATCTGACTACCACTCTTCCAGGGAATACAACCCCATCAACAACTAAAGTGAAAACCCCAACCACTTCCAGCTCTGTGGGTGTTACCACTGTTCCAATGTCGACAGCGTCAATGGCCACAGGTGGCTCAACTGTTACTATCCCAAATACCACCATCAACCTACTGGGAACAACACTTCCACGGACAACCATCACAACAATTATAACTGAGCCTACCAACTTCACTGTATCGAATAGCAGTAGCATTTTACCCGGCTCAACCCGTACCCCAACTATCACGGGTCCTGGAAGTCCAGGAACTGTCGGTTATTCAACAACCATTATCAACACTGTCACTATCCCAAGTATGTTGCGAAGGATAGAATGTTGAATATCATTGCAAAGGCTAACACTGTCAGGTTCACAAACAGCCCAAGCGATCAGTCCATCTACTACCGCCACAGTTAGCGGGCCTGATGCCTCTTCGACCCAGAGCTCTGGCAGTGCTACGACAGTATCCGCATCTGTATGCTCCAGCCTTATCAGCAACCCTTCCTACACACCCACCGCCACTTTGCCAGATGACTATACCTGGGGATGTGCACCCGGGTATCTCTGCAAGCCACGTCATACGGGCAATCGCTCGGAATGCAACATTGAAGCAGGGCTGCCCAACCCCGGATATATCTGCGCCCCTTCAGACTGTATTGTAGCCCCATCTTTGGACGCCCATTCCTCTTGGCAGTACGATATCTCGAACAATTATTACAATCTCAACCCGGAGGACTTTGGCCTCAACTATTCTATCTTCCAGTTCACAGACGACCCAATTGCAGCCAATAATAAGCGCGACATGTCCTTGTGGGACTTCGGTGTTGCCCAGAAGGTCAAAACAGTCGACATAACAAACATTCCTGCTGTTTGTTACAATGATTGTAACGATGCTGCACATGAGCCGCAGCTGCTTGGAAAGACATCTGAACTTTGCAAGAGTGACTCGGCGTTCATGGAAAATTTGGAAAGTTGCAATGAATGTATCACCAACAACGCTGAATCTGGCTCCGATCAGTTTTCATCAAAAATGTTGCCGACGTTTGCACAGTGGCTGAATTTCTGCTCCGATCTGGCCACTTCCACAACAACGCAAAGTGCCACCAGCACCAAAGTGGATACCGCGGCGATAAGAATTCAGACCATAACTACCACCAGCACGGAAGTATCGATAGCAGCCGCAATCACTAGCACTCAGGCGCTTCAGGCTAGCAGCACTGAAGCTAGCAGCACCAGCACCGAACCCACCAGCACCGAGCCCACCAGCACCGAGCCCACCAGCACCGAGCCCACCAGCACCGAGCCCACCAGCACTGAAGCTAGCAGCACCGAAGCTACTAACGCTGAAACGACAAATGCTGAGACTACGAGCAGTCAGTCTACCCAAGAAACCACTACCACCACTGGGGCTGAGGAATCATCTAGCCTAATCGAGACAACTCAAACAGTCAGCCGCTTTACAACCTCCACTTCCGGGTCAGTTGTGACAACCTTGGTATCTGCTTCACTGGCCACAACTTCTTTCTCTGGGAATGTTGTCACAATTTCAACATCAGGCTCTCTCGTGACAAGCTCAGTGCCGGGATCTATCGCGACAACATCATTACCTGGCTCACTTATCACCGCCTTGTTTTCCGGTTCAATCAAGACGGTGTCGAGTACTCAGGGCGCAGGGGCTGGGGATGGAAACCTATCCGATAAAACTTCCGGTAGTTCATCGGGCTCAGGTCACGGAAGTCAGACTACTTCAGCAACTACGTCTACGTTTTCTCCGGCCTACAATGCGGCAAGATCCTTAAAGATCCCTCATACTGGCTTGATTGGTCTCTTGTGGTTGTTTTTGCACCACTCGTTTAGAATGTTTATTTTTTGCTCCGATGTGTGACATTTTTAGTTCATTTTGGTGATTGTGGATTCATTTGTCCATTTTAATAGGGAAACTCAATGAAAGAAGGAAATAGTTTCGGTGCTTTCTCTGGGACTTTGCACACTTCACTCAAGCCATAACACATGGTATGATGCTCGAATTTGAAGGCGAAGTGAATCAATGGCTGACAATTGGATTAAATGCATCTTTCCAAGTGTCCACGGGTTCTTCTTCAAATCAGCTGCCATCTTCTAGAAGGCCGATAGCTGGAGACAAAAAATAAGAGCCTACCTGGATTACTTGCAAAACCTTCGTCACCCACTACATATTGGATGCCTGGTGCCGGTGGCATCAACCTTCTTAGTAATGCCTTCCGATTCCAAACAGGCAACTACCATTTTCTCTTTCTATTCTGCTGTTGTCTTTCTGTGTAGGACAAGACACTTCTTCTACAATTGACAGTCAACATTAACGTGATACCTATAATGATGAAATGAAGAGCACTTCTAGGTTAATACCCAGCACATACCATTGATCATAGAATCCTTTTACATGTGAAAAAAATGGGTCATGGTGTGTCAGGTGTGGGCCTGGTCCGTTGGGTAGGGCTCCGGGGCCCCGGGCCTAACGATTGGCTGACCAATCTTCCCTCCCGCTGGCATCGCCTCGCCAACTCCCCCACATCGGTTCCTTTCGCCTAGGCAGTTCCATAACACGTCGTCGCCTATGAAATGGCTCAACAAAGCTTGTCGGAAATTTTAGCCAGCGTGAGTGTTGATTTGGCCCCGTATGAAACTCTCTACAAGCATTTCCACACGCATCCTGAGCTCTCGCTGCAAGAAAAGGCCACTTCTGAAACAATTGCCTCCCATTTGTCCCAGCTCGGAGCCTACGAGATCCAGACAAACATCGGTGGTTATGGTCTCGTAGGCATCCTCAAGAACGGAGCTGGAAAGACAATCCTTCTTCGGGCCGACATAGACGCGCTTCCAGTCAAGGAACTTACCGGCCTCCCGTACGCGAGTTCAGTGACGATGTCTGATGCCGACGGCAATGAAAGACCAGTAATGCATGCATGTGGCCATGATATGCACATAACATGCCTTCTAGCAGCGGCTGAAGTCCTAGCCCGTATACAGAGTGCGTGGAGCGGGACTTTAATCGTACTCTTCCAGCCGAACGAAGAGCGGGGCGGAGGTGCTCAGGCTATGGTGGACGATGGACTTTACTCAAAGATTCCCATGCCTGATTACATCTTTGGACAGCATGTCATGCGAATGCGGGCTGGAAGCGTTGGTTCCCGACCTGGAACGATCATGGCTGCTGCCGATAGCATGAAGATCACTCTTTTCGGCCGCGGTGGTCATGGGTCACAGCCACATCAGACGGTAGACCCCGTGCTCCTTGCTGCGCATGTTGTTGTTAGACTCCAGAGCATTGTGAGTAGGGAGGTGGACCCGACTGATCTTGCTGTTGTGACGGTCGGGAGCTTGCAGGCAGGGCAGACAGAAAATATCATTGCAGACCGGGCAGAAATTGGTGTTGACTTTAGAACTGTCAAGTTGGAGACTCGGGAGAGAATCATCTCTGCTATCCGGCGCATCGTTGAGGCCGAGTGTCTTGCTAGTGGATCGCCGAAACCTCCGGTGTTCACACCAACGAGGCGGTTTCCACCCACCGACAACGATAAACAAGTGGCCTCCAAACTGGCTGCATCCTTTAGAGACCACTTCGAGGACTTTGATGCTGAAACGCCAAGGACCAATGTTAGCGAGGATTTTTCTACGTTGGGTACTTCTCAGGGACTTCCTTGCTCCTTTTGGTTCATTGGAGGAATTGACCCAGAGCTCTGGGATAAGGGCCAGAGAAATGAAATTTCCACGGACGAGATCCCTGGAAATCACTCGGCTTTGTTTGCGCCAGTGATCCAGCCAACGATGAGAACTGGGGTGGATGCGTTGTGCCTCGCGGCTTTGACATTTTTGAAAAAGTAGGCATCTGAAGCTCACGATGGCTCTCCCCGCAGTGCATCGGCAGATAGAGAAGCTTCTGGCGCTGTGTATAGTGAATTGCTTGCATATTTGGGAGGGGGGGGGGAATTCCTCGATTCCATTTTTGTACAATACAAGTTGTTGCACGGATGTAAGACTTTTGCGTAGCGTTTTGTTCCTCGGAACTTTGATTTTAATTCATCTTAACATCGCAAGTGTTCATAGTCAGTCAAAGAAGATACCACAGCCGAAGCGAAGGCGTTAGAATCATCCTGGCATTCCTCACGATCGACCACAACCTGTTCCAAGGCCAAGGCCAACTTCGACTCCTTCTATCGAATGACCGGCGCATTTTCCATGTACAGCTTAATCATGCCGAAACCATCCATTTTTAATAACCCTGCACAGATAGCACTCTGCCGGGCTTATAAAGTCCACGAAAAGCGCAAATCGGTGTACGTCCAACATCAATCCAAGCCATGGGCTGCGAAACGGGCTGCGAAACGGGCTGCGAGTTGGTAAGCGTAGCACCTGTTCCCATCTCAACCGCCATGACCCGATCGCCATGGAAGATCTAAATGCGCAATCGTCCCTCGGGCAGATCACCGAGCGCAACCGTGACCGACTTTACAAACGCATTTTCCAATCAAACTGTCTGAATTCTGATCTCATGACCAAGAGGGCATTGCTCAACCCAGACATCGCTGACCGTGTTTTCCACGTTGCGGATGAGAGCGTGCGAAAAAAATTTGGTGGCCGAAGCAAGTTTCGGAGATGCGGAATTCTGGGTATTGGCTATAAAGAATCTTTTTGACAGACTTCTCGAGCTCTTGCATCCAAGGCGAATGGTCCTTTTCGTAAACGCCCGGCGATTCGCCGGTGATCACGACTGCGTCCACCGGGGATTGCACGGAAATCTGTGCATTGCCACGGAGCCTGCATAGATCAGGATATGGCCTCTTCGGATATTATATGGCGTAATCTCGATTTCTTAATTTCCAATGTCATAAAAGTGCGTGTACATGCGAAAATCGTATCGTTGAACCGGCTAGTTACATCCTGAGTGCTTACCAAGGCTTGGCTTTCCGGTTTTGAACCACGCCCCTGAGCCTTACCTAATCATCATCACTGCTCCCAAGGTCCCTGAGGACCCCCCTCAGCCACCCAACCCCACTCAGTGACCCGATGAAAACAGGATAGTAACTATGTCAACAGCTCACATTTCAGCCTTATAATCTACCGGAGTTTGTAGAATGGATATTTTAGGATGGCACCAGTCCAGTACCGGACTCAAATTCGAGAAGAATCTAGCAAGTCCGAGGTCCGGGCCTTAAAGGACTAAGCTCCGGAGTCCCGCGGAGTCCCACGGAGTCGGACGGAAAGGACATGCCTGCGGAGGACTCCGCTTGTATGTGCTCATACTCCGTAAGTTGATCTGATAACGAATTGCTCCAGGGATTGTTATTCAGCGGAATTTTGAGCCTCACTTGAATATCAATCTCTTTACATGTATGAATCCTCAATCTTCCCACAACATCCTTTTTACTGGTTTTCTTAACTCAACCAGACCCTTCAAAGCAACTTCAATCCACTTAATTTTTATGTATCATGAGTCACGCTCCAATTTGCTCGATTTAACATGACAGCAGCCAACCAGCTCTACTGGACCAGCGGTCTACGACTTCCGAGCGGACACTATCACGATGCTGACCTTAGCTATGCTGAAGGTGATTACTCAGATGACATTGGCAGATGGCAGATGTCAAGAGTATTCGACAACGATTGACTTCGAAAAGTTTGTGATCAACCTCGTAGGAAAGGAAACAGTTTCTGAGTCATGTCCGGCACAATGGGAAACTCGATTACTATCCGATCGCTGCTAACAAAAACACCTCACGGCCTTGTCTGTCATTCTAAACCCTACATTTCAAAACTAGAGGCCGGCACCTGCTCATCTCTGTCCCAAGCGCATGTGCATGTGCAGCCATGCATCCCAGCGAACAGGCAGTATCTGACCCTCGAGGATGCTCGGCTAGACGTGAACACTCGTGGAAACATCCATAATGTGCGGACCCGCGTGATCGCGCTAGAAAATTGTCTCACCGGGGTCATCACTCCTTTAGAGGAAGTCCGCCAGAGATCTGGAAGGCTGTCGTCGTCGGATATGATTCATTAGCTGACTATTAAGACCTATTCGATATGGCCCAAAGGTGCTTTTTCCAAGGGCTAGCCGTTCCTGTCGACAGCATCATCGTTGGGCCGAAGAATACTCTGCAAAAATTGCCGATGGGCCCGGAAGAGCATTGGCGGAGGCATTCGCCAGGTCGAAATCATCTCTTCAGTGGCATCACGATGGAAAATGCTGTTAGCGTGGGTAGAGAGCAAGGAGTAAGCGTGGGTAGAGAGCAAGGAGTAAGATTGATCGGTGGAAGAAAAGCCTTCCACTGTCAGATTTGCAAGAAGCCATTGTCCTCCTGGAAAATGGTTTTGATCGCTTGATGTCATTGATGGAGAAAGCAAGAGGGTAATGTGGAGTAAGAATTAGTCTCCAGACAATCAGGAAGGAAGAGATGTAACTTGATCATTGCATATATTACTCGCTCCAGTTCTATAGTGTCGCTATCATAACCAATTTTGTGATTTCCTTCTTCCTTCTTGAGTTGCATCCGAACCTGACGTGTTTGATTTAACGAGCTGAAATTCAACCACCAATCTTGTCAGCACATCTACCCAACTTGTAACATCTCTTACGCCACCCTCAGTAAGTGTAGCAAATTTCTTTGTAGCTAATTTACTCCTTGTTCAAACTTATCCTTGCATCCGGAAATAGAAATTTTCTCAGGGAACAGGAAAACTGACTTGTCGTTTGAATTCATTAAATTTAATTATTAGTGCCGGGCGATTGCCATATAGAGCATCCGGTGTCAAAACTGTTTCATGAACCGCTAAAATTACAGTAGAACGTCAATCTCAAGATGCCAGAATCATCTTGTCGGCCATCTCGAGCAGACTGTCGGCCATAACATCCATCTTAGTATCAAAGATCTCAATACACGACTCCTTCTCATATATCGAGCAGTAAGCGCCACGGAAGCTGGTTATTTCGAGATGAGTTAGTCCAGGTGTCTTTCTTTCGAGCGATAGCGAAACTTACCCGGCTTTAACAGCTGCGCTCACATCCCACATGTGTGCCGCCACAAACCACTTTTGATCCTCGGCAGCGAACTTATCCAGCATGGGCTGGTAGGACCCCATTGAAGGTTTGACCATAGCAAGAGGGGATTCTAATGCAGACTCATATTTCATGAACTGATGACAACTGACAAGGTTCTCGGCGGGAATTTCAAAACCGGCGCGCTTAAAGTAGCCTCCGACTCGTTCTGTGTCGCCCGTGGTCAAGCACCAGATGGTGAAACCATTCTTCCGCAATCTCTCCATCATGGTGCGGCATTCTGGGCGAAGCTCTAGCCTCGAATATGCTTCCTGACAGATGTCTCTCTCCTCGTCGGTGGCGAACGATCTCGGGTCTTGGATCCCGGACATATAGAGGACGCGGTAAAAGAGCGCCTTAAAAACATCTTTGTATGGTACCTTCCGCTTGGACATGTGCAGCATTAGAGACTCGAGCTCGGAGGATTGCATCCATGCAAAACCGAAAATTTTGGCAGACAGTTGATGTGCTCGCAGTCGTGGACCGAGAACTTCCTCAATGGTGTCGAGAAAGACGTCGAATGAAACGCAGGTGCCGACCACATCGAAAACGGCGTGCTTTCTGGGGTAGATCATGTTGTGTATTGTAGATATAAGACTTTGACTGAAGATTGAATGGAATTGAATTGGTAGACTAAAAAAAAATTCTAGGAATGTTGACCGATGGAGTGCTTTTCAAGACCATTTATTCAACGCGTTTCACCGCGTGCATTTTGTTGTCTGACTGCGGCACGCCGCCATCCGATAATTGTGATCCGCCCTTGATCCATTCCGTCCTCGAATCAAGATAAGAATGAGGTTCACTCCGTACATGTGAGCTCCAGAAAACAACAGCGGTGTGGAAACTCCGGGACTAACCAGATCCGGTAATAAGCTGCCTTCGGACCAGATCCACTCTGTCTCGGAGCTCCGTCATTGGAGCTCCGGCACTGGGAGATTAACTTCCAAGGTTCTCGAAGATCTCATCCATTCCTTTTTAGCGCGGATTCTGTGCCGATAACCGAGCTAAAAGGGAAGCTAGTCTCGGTTGTTTGATACGGGGAAGGCTTGATACTCCGTATTATGTGCAGGCTTTGAGGACCTTCCGGGAAATTGACCCATGTACGGAGTACGGAGTCTGAAACATACAAGGGGTCAGGATGTTCACATTCCATATCTCATGCTTCTAGACTTGAGCATTTCACCCTTTCTATTCCAAAATCTACTGCTTGATATACAAAGCTCTTGTTATACGCACTTGTACACAGCACCACAATAGAAACTCGACCTGGAAAATCACTAGGAATCTATCGACGAAATGCACCCCTCGAAATTGGATAAAATTGAAGACCACAAGATTAATCTGACTCCTCTACTGGCGAGTCAACAGATCTCATAGATCCACTCTCAGTTCCATAAAAGACTCAGACTGCCAAGACCTTTCTTCGACTTTGGCAGGGGCTCTGGATTCCGATTCGCAAGATCAATAAAGGGTTGAATGGGGATCCCAAGGTACTGAACGAAAGGCCCAGGATTGCGCCAGTATTCAAACCCGATAGTGTTATGATCAGGACTGCCCCCACAGGTTATTGCTAATGCCTGATTTACGCTTGTCAGTTCACGAAAGCCCACAAATGGTGTAGAAATGAAAGCTGAGCGTTACCATGATATTGACTCCAATAATCAGCAAGATCTTCATCATAGAGAAAGCGAACTCGAGCTCTCCATATACTCGCACAAAGACCAAGGCCGTACACACCATAAGCAGTCCAAAAATCGTAACCCAAATCGCACTGTTGAGGTCAGACCAGAACTGCACTAGCACAGCCGCGGCCACGATCTCTGCGGGGATAGACACAAGGTAAGAATATACCACGTTGTAGCCGTTGGCAAACGCTAATGCCGGGTCCACAAAATATTCCGCGTAGCGGACTATCCCGCCGTTCAACGGAACAAGTGTGCCCATCTCGCCCACTGCAAGGGTCACGGTACCGGCAACGCAGCCCATGACCAGGTAACCCAGGAGAGCACCCAGGGGACCAGAACGCGAAATCGCTCGACCAGAACTAAGAAAGAGGCCTGTTCCGATAGTGCCGGCCAAAGCGATCATTTGAATGTGTCTTTGATGAAGGCCTTGCCTCACAGTCGAAGTTTCTTCGAAGTATCCAACGTATTCCTCTCCTGGTTGAGTAGGGGACTCTGGGTCTTGTATTGTGGTCTTGACATCTTTCTTGAATTCATGTTTGGCGTCGGGGGAGTCCTCGTCTCCAAGGACGGTCTTGATCGTGTACATCTCAATTGATTTGGATGTTCACTTGTTGTAGAAAGGGAAAAGTGACACTGGGCGGTTCTTTATAGATAACAAATAGCAATAGTCCCTCCGGGGATGATTTAGCTTTCGACTTATGGTCTTTAATGGCCATATCGCTCTGAATTCTCCATTCAAAGCCACATTTTCTTTATCGATACGGTTGAGCTGGGCGGATAACGCAACAATGAAAGGAAACATCACGCGTGGCTTTTGGTGTCGTACAAAAGTAGCGGGAGGGAAGAAACAGAGAACTTGATTGGCAGACGAAGCAAGATGACAGGCACCCAATTAGCAGACTTAAGTATCTTTGCGATAGGCTTTAACTGGGAGATGTGAGATAGGAGCACACGGGCGATTAAAGGGGGTGCAGATCAACTCCGCAAAATGCAAGGCCACGCAATCTACTCCGTGAGATAGCAGCTCCGAGAGATAGGATGTAGTGATACGGTTTGGAACTGTTGCTTTTGTGACTGATTTAATACGTCGCATTTAAACCGATTGGGCTGGCCGGTGACCTTTTACCGAAAGACAGAATTTCATGAAGTATGAGAGAATCAGCTTAAGCTGAGACAAGCGGAGACGCCTCTGTAGTACGTACATTGCTCATCTCGTGGATTCGTTCAAAATGAGGAACGTCCGTCGAAGTTGCCAATGGAATCTTGTGAAGGTGAATAATACACTACGTTATGTCTCGAAGAAAGGAGCCTTTCTTTGTTGGAGATACAAGACTACGAAATATCAAAAAGAACAGTGCAGCTGAATGATTCCGCCTCTCATTCCTCTCTGCGCGAGAAACATACATCTCATCTCTTTATACCAAGTATGTCGCCTCCCAAAGGGCCGTTCTTCGCCGTCTCAAGCCTCTCCTTCGTCGTTTGAAACAGCCTTGGAACACCCGTGTCTTCAAACTCGATCCCTTTCTGAACCATCTTAGCAACCCCAAGAGCACATAAGAACGCCTGGGGCATTCCATGACCATTGAAGCCCGCAAGCACAAACTGGCCATCCTCCCCAGGCACAGCTCCGATATGGGGCTGGGAATCCCAGCTGTACCCCATGACTCCGGTCCAGATTTCATCTACCTGGGCCAAGCTATCTTCCCAGCCATTAAAATGCCGTTGCATATAACCATCGTAATGGTCTTTGACTTGCTCAATGAGACTTGAATCGTCCACATTGTCGTACCATGAACTCAGAAAATTGTGGTATAGCAAGTTGGCTCCACCGACAACAATACTACCGTCGGCACGAGGAATGAGGTATGAAACGACGTTGTCCTCTTCACGGACTATGTAGGAGTTATTCAGCAGAGGCGCTCTTGTGCCCTCAGGAACTGAAATATGAGTACATAGTCCTTTGCAGGGAACAATGGCTTCACGGTACTGTGGAAGAAGACTTGAGATGTAGGCGTTGTTCGCATACACGACTTTCTGAGCGACTGTTGTGCCTCGTGGAGTTGTTAGAATAAAGCTGCCCGAAGGTTGCCGACTCACAGACAGTACTGGTGTGTGAGTCTGGAGGTTGACCAGGCCAGTCTGGAGAATAGAGGCGGTCAGATGAAGAATCAACTTGTACGGCCACAGAGTTGCTGCCGTGAACGAAGCGCATGCTTTAGCGCCTTTGACACCCGAGATGCCCTCCGCATCCTTGCCAAGCACGAAGAAAACATCCTTCATGTATTCAAGATTACGGGATATCAGCGTGTCATACATCTCCGTAGCCTTTCGGGCAGTTTCCTCGTTGGTCCATACATCGATAGACCTTGTGAGGGTAAAATCGCAGTTGATTTTCTCCCTTTCAACCAAGGACTTTATGGCGCGGATATGCGCGATTTCAAATTCTGTCACCTCCAAGGCGCGTTCAACACCTGCTCGGTCGATGAGCCTGGTCATAGGAGTGTACATGTCAGGCCTGAGGTGGCCACCATTGCGTCCTGTCGCGCCCGAGCAGACACCCCGTGCTTCCAGTATCGTGATAGAGAGTTTCTTGTCATTAGCCTCTCCTTTCACCAGATGGTACGCCGTGCTAATTCCTGCATAGCCGGCGCCTATGATGACGACGTCACTCGACACAGGAAGCTCCTCTGTGGTCCGGTGATCATGCAGTTCGTGAATGTCTCGATGCCAAAATGGCACAGTTGCATTTTCGACAGGGTGCCGGTGTGTTTTGGATGAGTCCTTCGGGGACATGGTGGCGAAGTGGGACTGATTGCTGCTGTTTGGCCTCAGAATCACCATGGGCTGATGGGCTAGGCTACTTGATGGCCTGCTTTGACATTAAGTAATGGCGGGGGGTTCGGTCCTTGATCATCATTTGGTGAGGATACATTGGCAATCGGAGAGAATGAGACCGAACTCCGATTTGTCGATGCTCAAAAATGACTGATCAACGCAGTGAGATGTGGTGAAGTGCCCTTGTCGGCCCCGCAAGCCCTGTTGCGCCCGGCGTAGCCCACTCCGACGCACCAAAAATTACTCCGAACTTGACTCTGGGCCATCTTGTCAGCTGAGCCAATCAGCACGGCGTGATGTTGTTAAAGGGCTTTCTCATGTGTTCAAGTCCGAGGAGCTGGAAACGTCGATCCTTTGAGATTGCTTAATATGAGAAAGGTGGATTGCTTTGCTCAAGCCAACCATTCTGAGTCCAATCAACGGTGTTCAGCCAATCCATATCTCCAAATGTGTTCATCTCAGGGTCAATTTCATGCTCTCTGCCCGTCGCAGTAGGCAAATTTTGCCCTAGAGACTGTTGTGCTTGCGGACCATGGTGTCTCTGGGGCTGCTCGTTCGGCATCCCTTGTGCTTGCGGCGACCCCAAAGAATCAAATACGGCGTCAATGATTCTCTGTAGAACTGTCTTGAACTTCTTGCTAAGCTGCGCATTATTATCCGTGGGTCGTATCCAGTCAAGTAAGGCTTTGAACATAACCAGAGTTTGGACGACTTCCGACCGCGAGAATCTAACACATTCGTGACCGGCAGTCGCCGGTAACATCTCGCTTTGTGTGGCAGGTGGTACTAAATTACTTGCTCGAAGAAGCTCGACACACAAGATTCCGGCACAGGGCATTCCGTATGATACTCCCTGGATCAACATCAGTTATTTTTGAACTCTCGATTCAAACAACCGGCGAGGCTTGTGTCAAAGACTCACAATCCAGTCAAAGGCATGGTGAAATTCCTGCAGCTGATCACGGTTAAGCCAGAGAGACAGGATAACAGTCATTGTCTCTTGGGCGATATTGAACAAATTCTGGCCACCGCTGAATTGTCGCGACACAAGTAGGCGCTGGAGAAGGAACTGGCATTGCAATACATCAAGTTGTATGCGGGTGATAATATAGACTTCATGAGCGCCCCGTTTATGGGGTCGTGAGCTTGGCTGTGGGTGCCATTCGGAGTTCCCCTGATACTGAATGTGCCGAGGATATGAAGCGACGATCTTCCCCAACTGAACTTGCAGGTCTCTGCAAAAAGGTTGAAGTTAGCGAAATGCATGCATAATTTCTTCCGCAATACGCACTCTACCTGCGATTTAGTGAAATTCGAATTGACACTAAGAGTTAGTTCCAAGATGCCCTCCCGGATAGGACTAAGCATCGTCAGTGCTCGAAGCCATGTTGTTGTGTATATGTGGCCATTAGTATTCCAGCCATTAGAGTCAAGTTTCGCAATGGCCACGATGAGTCTTTCCTGGCCCCCATATACATCTTCCTCGCATAAATCAAGTGGCAGAGGACATTGGCAGTATTGATTACTGAGCATAGGTGGTCGCGCGTTGAACAAACTGTGGCATTTGTCGTGGTAATACATCGATGAAGCGAGTGATGCTCGGTGTTGAGAAAACGGTGTGATTTCCTTCGAAGGAGAAAGACGGTGCAGTCCTGCACTTATAAAAGCACTGCGAACAGTGCCGTAGTCGACTCGTACGCGGTCACCTATAATGAAATGAGCTCGATTCTACAATACCAGGATTTATACTGTTATAATCCAACTCACTCTCGTCACTGATGATGATGCTTTGTAGTCTGGTGCTATTCTTCATGCAAATGACCATGGTATCGCTGATCTCAAAGTTCCCTTCGCAAAGCTTTACACAGGCAGCAGCACACTCTCTCATTTTCTCAGCGGCAGTGTTGCGATTCCGCCCATCCTGCTCGGGTAGATCGAACACTTGGTCCCACTCTTGTTTGCATCTGAAAGCAATTCCAGCCCAGCTGAAGAGTATCCCGATCATTTCCCATCGCAGATGAGGTCCACCAAACCAGTTTATCCAGGAAACATGGTCGGAGTTGCTTGCAGCATCGCAATCAGGTGTTGGGCGGGGCCTTTTGTGGTTCATGAATAAATCTTTTGCCATTTTCAACACAGATTCCCGCGTCCGGGGCTCCCCTAGCTCACTGGCGTATTCTGTCCATACTTGTTTCAAGCATTGTTGGATCATGGTGGGTGATAGCCATACATCGTAGATATGATGGATTCCAGTCATCAGCACGTCAAATGTACGAGCAGTGGGGAAGTTGAGCAGTGTTCTAACTCCGAACTCTACTCGAGACCTGGCCATAACATCAGGCTCTCGGCCTAACTCGTGGTGGTCGGAGTTCGTCGCATCAAGCATCACTGCGCCAAAGCTATCTCGGTTTTCAAAAAAGACAGCAGAGAAACGAGTCGTCTCGTGCTGGCCTAGCTGCTCTTGGAATAGCATGTTCCGTTTTGGTCCGCTCGGACGGGCTGCTTCCCCCGAGCTCGCAGCTAGGGTTGGGTCCACAGGAGGAAAAGAGACTCCTGCCCCGACCGAAGATTCACCAGGTAAGTGGAATGGGTTGGTAACATCTTGAGGGACCAGGAGGTCCGCGGGCAGCGTTGAGCCGAAGTTTATGGGTGTGTGGGAGGTCGGAGGGCGGCGTTTGGTCATGGGAGCAGGGTGATAAATGCAGTTCAGGCTGCGCAGGACACAACGCGAACACTTTGGATTTTGATGGTCACAGCGAATCTTAGCCTTGCGACATGGTTCGCAGGCTTGCGGTTGGCCATTATGGCGTTTTCTTGGTTCTGCAACCATCGTGTCTCTTCGCAACAAGCGTAGTTCACCTTATTGTTTACTAGCTCAGCGTTCCACGCAAAAATCGAGACATCTCGTATAACCATTAAAGGGCAAAAATACCTTCTATGACAGTAGAAAAGATCACCAGCACCCCACGGTCCATTGGTGAATCAAGTACCTGCTTTATCGCGGGCCGATAGGGAGATTAATGTCAACAGGAGCCAATCATTTTGCCCGATCAATATTACCAAGCTACGTATTAATACAGCCACTTTCCATACCAGAGCTGCGTATCTCGTACGGAGCACTGGTGACTCAGGTGGATGGGCTCTTCGTACAAAGCTAATACACGCTCTAACATAGCAAAATTCACAGCTATCTAGGAATTTGGTCTCTAGAGTGATCTTATCTATGAAGTGCTGGTCTCTGAATGAACTACGTAGTAGTGACAAACTGGATACCGAAAGACGTAAAATCTTCCACATCGCCTTCCAGCTCCACAATGACTCCACAGTTGACGATGGCTATCAGAAGTCTTCTCACCCAAGCTTACCCCGCAGGGCACCGTCGTCTGGGAGACTGCCAATGCACAGCTGGTTCAAAAAGTCAATTAACCTGCCAGGCATGATGTCTGGCATGGACGATCTGCTGTACTATCTCATCCGAAACCCCAAGTGAGTACCCCCGTGTCATAGCTAGCTGGAGTCTCCCAGACAAATCACCCTTTACTTCCGGATCCACAACACCATTGGATACATTTTGCATTGGTTCGGTGCTGAGACACAGTGAGAGCTCAGTTACTAAGCCATAACTTTCATCGTGTGTGCGTAGGGGCCCCTCAATTTGATCACAGGGGTCGCCGCCGTTGCAAGCCCCCTGCACTGGTCTGCTGAAGCCAGTATGCGCAGCCCAGGGTCAAAAGCTTCGTCAAATTCTGCCTCGCGCGGTTCCGTTGCCGTCTGACGCGCCTTGGAACAGCCAGGCAGAGCACGTCGGAGGGGCCGGTGTCTGTTGCTCAGGACATGCCATGTGAACGACGCGGAGCAAATGGACACTATCGGTTCCATCCAGCACTCATGTGACATCCTGCAGCCCGTATGGGCGCAAGCGGCATGCACCCTCCGTAGCGTTTACCCGGTGACTATGCCTGTCGAAGTCATGCCGTGTTGAGTTAGGAGTTCAGCAACTCTTGGGGGGTTTTTTTTGGGGTCCGAGCCCACATCGAGGACGTCAGTCCCGGGATTGCCAAAGATCATGTCACTCATCGTTACAGCGGGATCAAAACCACGCACCATGGCCTCTTCGGCCAGACCCACCCAGCTGCCCTTGAAGGAATATATGATCTTGGCGTCTCGTCTCTTCGGCCTGGCAGCTTTCTTACTCAATTTCGATTTGTGGGCTTCCTCTAGAGCAATTTTCGACTTTTTATCCTTTTGACTGCGGCCCTCCCTTGGGCACAGACTTGATCGCGTCTTCAAACTCTGGAAAAACTTTCTCGTAACCGGTTTTGTGGTAGAAAGCCATGTTGGTATAACAATTGGAGTCGAGAGTTTCAGCATCATGTGGCCCGATCACCACGTTCGCCATTCCGCGGCCGAACAACGCATTGATGGTGGCCAATTCTTTTGGTCATCTCTCCGCACCAAACAGCTGAATCACACTCTCCGATGCGGGTGCGAGGCAGCAGCCTTTGCTAGGCAATAGATTTCCGGAAATGTGCTATTTTTCTTTTGTTGAAAATCCAAGTTGATGCTTCATGTAAACGCCAAGCTCCTACGAAATCGAGATTAGCAGCGTTGATGCAGTTTGACGCCTCTATCACATATTCCGATCTGCAAATTCGAGCATTCTATATCCTCGGATGGCATTTAAATTTGGACTACATTCAGTCCATGGATCTGGGAGGATCTAGTACTCAGTACTGACACCGCTCTTTGAAGATTCTTCTTTCTGATTCTCTAATTACAAATGCATATTAGTTAGTGAGGGGTAGATAAATCTACAGAGGTAAAAATGAAGCTATAAACATGGCTTCATTTCTAGGTTGGAAGGGATTAGGCAGTTTGATAATTAAAATCCAACTTTTACACACAGCTTAGTATTCTATCCATGTAGGATTTCATTCAACATCTTCGCCACTTCTACAGACCCTCGGAGATGTGTATATCCACGAAGCCTTTCTGTGGTCCTATCTTAGATGAATCGAGGCAATCAAAGGTCCGTGTAGTATGCTGTACTGCAGTGATTGAAAGATAGCATTCATTGATGACCTGAAATCGGTCTCATAGCCGGTTTTCATGCTAATCAGAAATACGTTCACAACCACATGAAGACCAAGATAGTGATGTCTTCTTGTATTTCCTCTTCTATTTATGAAGCGATGCAGAATCTGGTGCCATTGTCCTGTGACAACTCTGAATACATTGGAATACCGCGTTAGTGTAGAAAATTTGGTGGTGCTAGAGAGATCCAGCCACAACTGAGAGCCTCGAAGCTCCATGGCAAACTAACTCCTTGTAGTATCTGTCCCTGTTCTATTTAAATTAACAGCGGAGCAAGGATTTCAACCAAAGGTTGAACGAAGGGAAAGGTAAGCTACGCTGTGACGCCCACATGTTTGTCAAATGAGAGACGATAGGCTAAATAGAATCCTGATGTGGATCAGTATGATGTTTGCTTTGGCTGCCACGCTAAAAGCTTCGGCATAGAATCAAGCCGATGTGTTGCATGGCACACAACACATACTCCGTACGGAGTAGACTACGGAGCACTCCGTAGAAGATTCCGAAATCAGGTGATGCATGCACACTCCTGAGACCTGTATCCCGGAAGATAGAAAATTAATCAGGACCACCATTTCAGATCACCACTCTATCATGAAAGGCTTTGTTCTTATCGTACTGCATTTGATAACCCTCTGCAATTAGTTTGATCGTATCTACCAGGCTAATTTTCCGATCTGGTCGGAGAAAGCGAGGCTCCTTCCACTCGACGTGGAAGACGACCTGGAGCATTCAACGACCATAATTGTGATCCTTGATTATGCTGCTAGACTAAGGTCAACCTGGCATTGGATATGACGAACTTGGTTCATTTTACGGAGTGAATGAATCCAGGATCCGAGTAAAGAGCGATATACAGAGAGTCTGGGACATATACGAAGTGGGCAATGGACGGTGCACAGTCGCAAAGAGTCTACAGCGTACCAGTCTTGAGGTTAGACACACATTTGAAGCCCTTGCTTACCGACGATGCTCCAATTACCCTAATAAGGCGGGAAATTTCTACAACAATAGAGAAATGACACATCTGAAAAGACTATCAAAAACACGCCACAAGCCGTCACACGCCTTACTCTTCTTGTCTTTGAGGAAAAACCAAAAATGGAGACAGGATGAATACTTCTGCTTTGCTAAACTCCACTCATCTCCACCAAGGCCATCATGAAAGAGAAAATATTCCTTGGCGTTGGGATTGGCCCCGAGAGATCCGAATACAACCGGCTAGCCGAATAGGGAAAAATCCCACGATTCTTAGTGGAAGGGGCTTCACCTTCCCTGGCTTAGCCTCTTTTTCGAGGTTATTTTTATGTCTGTCATTCACACATATATCTTTACTCTGTTCTTCATCTTAACCTCACCTCCAAAGTACCAAATATGACAGCCCGTTCATTACCCCTGAACGGGATCTACCAAACGCCAAGGAAAGAAGACTCCCTGAGGCGCAGGAATATCAATGGCCCGCAACCCAAGACAATGGGAAATGGCACAAGCCCACCAAATTCAACTTCAAAGTCCAGCAAACGGGGCTCTCTTCTCCGTCGCTGCAGAGATTCCGCAAGCAAGCACACCTGGACAATTCCATTAGTTCTCGTGCTGGCCTTCCTTTCCCTATATGCTCTCAACCCGACCGAGTCAAACCCAATCTCTCATTTCCTGTTTCTCTCCTATAAAGAGGAACTTCTGGAAGATGCTGACCCTAAAGCCCCCACACAGTATGGCAAGGGTCTGTGGGACATAGCGTTTGTGTCATTCTACGTGATCGTGCTATCCTTCACGCGGGAATTTATCATGCAAGAAATTCTTCGCCCTCTAGCAGTCTGGCGTATCAAATCGCGGGGGAAGCAAGCCCGTTTCATGGAGCAGGCGTACACCGCGATTTACTTTTCAGTCCTCGGTCCCGCGGGGTTGTATGTTATGCGCCAGACACCGGTTTGGTACTTCAACACGCGTGGCATGTACGAACTGTTCCCACACAGGACCCATGCGGCTGAGTTCAAGCTTTACTACTTGATTGAGGCGGCTTATTGGGCACAGCAGGCTATCGTTATGCTGTTGGGGATGGAGAAGCGGCGGAAGGATTTTACAGAGCTTGTTGCGCATCACATTGTGACATTGGCGCTTATTGCTCTCAGCTATCGCTTTCACTTTACGTATATTGGAATTGCTGTTTATATCACGCATGACATTAGTGATTTCTTCCTTGCCGTAAGTCACATGTCTCTTGCCTGAACGAATTCTTCTCGTTCCTAAACGACCGGAAATATCCAAAGCACATATTGACAACTCCCGCAGGTTTCAAAATCTCTCCATTACATAGCCCCGGACATAATGATTCCCTTCTACGCAACCTCGATCGGCGCCTGGATATATCTCCGCCATGTGCTGAATCTTCGGATCCTTTATTCCCTTCTAACAGAGTTCCGGACTGTTGGGCCCTACGAGCTCAACTGGGAAACTCAACAGTACAAGTGCTGGATCTCAAACATCATCACATTCGGACTACTGGCTGTACTCCAAGCTCTCAATCTGTTCTGGTTGTACTGTCTGCTACGCAGCGCGTTCAAGTTCCTCGCGACAGGCGAGAAGAAAGACGATCGCTCTGAGCCGGATGAGTCTGAGATTGAGCACGATGAATTCAAGGTTTCTGGGGGAATTACTGGCCAGGCTTCGACGAATGGCAGTGCATTGCCTAATGGCAAGTCCCAGGGTGCCGCTAGTGGTCTTGGCCTCTCTATCAATGCCAATGGGGTTCGCTAGGAGTGCCCCAGGCTGCTTTCTGGTCCTCCCTGCAGGTGCAATGTGGAAAGCACCAGGTTGAGCTTTTGCCTTACCAAGCATTGGTTTCGCTATTCAACGATTTTCAACGAAAACAACCTTACTTGGTCCATTTATTCTGTCATGCTTTACGATGTATCATGGCGATTTAATTCTATGATTTGTTGTTCTTTGCTCGAGTGTTGCCGTTGCGATCTCGCCATATTTCAGTTCGTGTGATTCGACGTACCATCCTACTATAGATTTGGATATATTAATGATAATCTTTACTCAAACGGGGGACTTGATCAACGCCAATCACAGGGATAATCCATTCCAATGCGTGACCTGCAATTTGCAGAGACTAATTTGCTCGTTGCTCGCGCCAGAGATCCTGAGCAAGACAAGTTGAACATCTAACGAAATTCCAGAACTATGTGCGAAGGTCAGATTTACAAAAGATGATTTTGACAACTTTTTATCACAGCACGATCAAGAGAAGCGCAGTCCTTTGCTGGGATCCCAGGTTCCCGGCCGAGAAGCACGATTGGTCTGGCTCGGGGCTGGTGCAGTCCCTGTGCTGGGAATACCATTCGGAGGGGCAGCGGCAGATCCAAACCGAATCCCCATTTCAGGGGCCCACATGCCCGGCATACCCCCGGGCATGCTCGGCTTAGAAACTGCGGGCGGGGCAACGGGTGCGCGCACCGGTTGGGGCGCCGTGAGAGGGGCTGCTGTCTCAGCTGGTCGCACGGCGTGAACGAGTGGAGGTGGCTGCGATGGCGCCTGGGCGGGCTGCGCGCCATCTGAGTAGGCAGAGGGAGGGTGATGGGTTCGAGCTGATTCCTGAGATTTTTGGCGCAGGTGTGGCTGAGAAATACGCAGTGAGGCCATCGCTGTGGCATTAGAGATATCTCTAGTTCGGGGAAATCAAATGTCAGTGGCAATCCGCTACTTTCGTAATGGGTGATGACACATACGCTTCCAGCTGGCTTGCCTCTATCCGACGCTGGTGGACAAAAACCTTAGCGTCGTCGCGGAATCGAGCTACAATTTTTGCAAGGTCATTGTAAAACTTTCGCCCGACGTCGAGGTTGGAAATGATCTCCTTATACTTCAGGTATCCATTCTCTAGATCCTGCAGTGCCGCTTCTCGTTCCTTTGTCGACGCGTCACCTTTATGAGACCCAGTAAATGCCCGGTTGGCCTCTCGGACCTGATCCGCAAGGTGATCTTGCTCCCTCCGCTCCTGGGCTAGCATTTCACGGTCTGAATCATATAGTTTCAGTTGATCCTCGAACAAATCCTCGAACTGGCTTGCCTGGATAGGCTGCATGGGGAATTCCCGCTCCAATCGAGCTGTCTGTGTCAAAAGTGCTGGATCTAGTTGCAAAACATTAGGAGATTTCAAGACCAAAGAATCAGAGAATGCATACGAATATCATCCCCGCGAGCTTTCTCCTTCAATGCTTGAATTCGTCGCCTCCGCCGATTCTCCATTCGGGTGACCTCGCTCAAACAGCCGCGCAACCGGTTAGACTCGCGTTCAACTTCTGGTGGAATCACAACCCTTCGGCTACTAGGAACAAAAGATTCCAAGTCCTGATTTGTGCCAGTGAGAACGACGAAGATTGATCGTGAATCTCGTAGCTTACGCTGGACGAGATCATCACTGCCCTGGGCGGAGGTAAAATAGCCTTCGATTTCGGCCAAACTCTTGTAAAGCTTAGGCGCGGCAGATTCTGAAGTCCCGCGGGTCCAGCGATCGGTGCCGTATTTATGGCGAGCTGCAAGATCCTCGGCCTTTTCAGCCGAAAGAAGCTCAACGCCTTCATTGTACACAGTCAGATCATTGCCTTTCACTCTGGTGGTGTCTTCGATAGACCGGTGCAAGCGATTCAAGCCATCTTGCTGGCGCATTTCCTCTGCATGCGACACAAGCAGTGGCGGGAGACCAAGTGGTTTTTCAAGCGCCTGTAAAGACCCTGGCAAATTGAGCGATGAAAGCAAGCTTGAACCCCACGTTAGCATGATTTTCCTTAAAGATTCTGATATATCCCTTAAACACATACTCTCGCAACTTGTCGGTCATCGACTCCAGCTCCCCGATGAGAGTTTCATTAACCAGTCGGTCGCGACGATCAGTGTAAATACTGGCGGCAATGTGAACTGCGTATGGGACCAACTTCGAGAACAGCGGCTGGCCCAACGGTCCGTTATCACCAAGCATAGAAATCGCATCCGTAACCTGCGAAGGTGCTTTGGCAAGAACCATGCTGGCGCGCTCTATAGCCTTGAGCTCAGATTTGGGCGGCACAGGGTTGATGTAGATAATGTCATTGTCCTTCTCGGCTCGCTTGAGGTCTTCCGTAACACGACTCTTCAGTCCAGTTAAGTCCCCTAGTACAGTCCGATTAATCCACCGCTGCTCTTTCAAACCCTCGCCAACACAGACCAAACAATCGCGCAGCCGAGCAACCTCTTCTCCATACTTGCGTTTCTCCAGACAGTCAAGCGCTTGTCGGAACTGAGCTGCCGCTGCAAAGTGGTGATGTTTTGCGGTCATGTGGTGGATCCAGTCCGTACTTATTGCATTAGACTTGACAGCTAATTCGCCTGCGTCGCCGTAGAAGTCAGACACCTTTGCTGCAAGTTTCGCAATCGACACATCTTTCAGTCCATCTTTGACAGCTTTCTGCCAGAAACACTCCTGGCCCTGTCCGAGCAAAAGAAGTTCCAAACTTCGTAGTGTCATTTCGTCCATATCCTCTGGCGGCGACGTTCGAAGGTCTGGGATGATGTCGGTTCGAAGATGGCTCAAAACTCCAGCTGCGGAGCAGAGGTAGTTACACGCCTGCTTGAGTCCATCTGCGGTAGTCCGGTTGGTCGCATATGCAAGCTGGGAGTATAATGCGGCGAGATTGAATATGACATTCGCTAATTCGAAGCGCAGGTTGTTTTGTGAGACTAACGGCCAAGATTCATTCCTATTAGTCTCATACATACAAAATCGGACCCACGTGGAGGGTGTGACCCCAAGAAATCAACTCACCTGGCCGCGAAGCATTAAAGCCAAAAGCTGGATACCACGAAAAATCCACTCCGACCTATAGATCACGCCGAACGTCAGCTTCCGATATCAAGCAAAGTAGCCATACCTAGAAAGAACGGCGCACGTCAATTGGGAACTTCCCACTCAGCCATTTCAGCTGAGCCGCGTACGTGACCAAGCGGCTGATACCACTAAAGTGTGGTTCCTGGACCTTGACAGCCTCAGATCTTAGACGATCAATGATCATCAGATCCTCAGCAAACATATCCGGGCGCTGGTCATATTTGGAAGAGATGTACTGGGTGATTGCTTCGGAAAGCAAGACGGTATGGGAGCGCCGGAACGGGAGTTGGAGGATGTTGCTGGAAGAATGGAACAGAAGAAAAATTTAGTGAGATTTCTTTCTCTTCATAACGTCTCTCATACTGCTGGGGGTACTCACGACGCCATTGTCGCTCTAGGCGGAGTTTGGAAGTCTCCGTTTGTTTTGACGGCGGGAAGTTCAACCCCACCAGGCAACGGGATGAATGACGTTTGATGGCCTGAGGCACCCATCAGCAGTCCTTCCGTTGATTCATGGCCAAAGCAGTCTCCATTCGACACACCCCCCTTCCATTTGATGCTTACAAAAGCTAGTTAGGACTCATTTTGGCTTCGCAGTTTGCCCTGAACACGATGTTAGACACGTTATGTAGAAGATAACACTCTGATGTCCTTTTTAGATGCCGATTTAGCGTTCTTCTGAAATTCATTCTTCTCTATGAGATGGCTTGACGAAGAGTTATAAGCTATAGAAGTGCCACTCGGAATGGAAATAGTAACACCAGTGGGCGGGTAAACGTGTCCGGCTCATCACTCTGCAATGTACAATATTCGATTGCAGTATTAAGCCTAACCCGAGCAGAGGTAGTTTCCATGCATTACCAGGAATGGTCGATTAGGAAACGCACCCGGCTTCTTGATGCAAAGATGAATCCCACTCTTCACAGGGGCAGTCCTCTATATTGCAGAATGGGCATGAAGATGCTCTCAACCCAGTAAAGACCACCATCGGTGATTAGGTGAAAAACAGCGCAACTGTGATTGCTATTCTAGACCGAGTTTGCAGCGAAGTTCTTGTAAAGAACTGGGCGTCTCGAATCATCGACTCAAAATGCTATATAATGGCTCGCAAGATTGTTCGAAATCGATAAATGAAATAGATTCAAACCCCTTAAAAACTAGGTTTGGATTAGGTTCGATTCGCGAAAACACCTTGGGCTCTCCCCCGATGCCCTAGGCAACTTTGTTCAGTACAAGGTGCTCGCCCATATGTTTAATAATACAGTCTAACGTGCTTAAGAATATCTCGAGTGGTGATTGGGACTATAAATAGTAGATAGTACCAGAGCTGAAATTGTTAAGTTGTCTAACATCTTCTGTACTGGAACTTGAACTGTAATTTTAGGCTTCGTTCTACCTGTAGTTAGAGATACCACTCACCGTAGATCTACATTTATAGTAGAATCATAGAGAGCATCGGAAAAGAACCAAATTCTCTCAGTTCTATCAACTTACAGAAGCCTAGATTAAAACGCCGCCATTACGGTATAGTACTACATATTTCTCCGTGCTGTAGTTTTCTATGCAAAAACTAGTAATGTCGTAAAACTTTATTAACGGCGCTAATCTCGATACCGTAGGAGTTTAAGGATTCTTGGCATGCAAGAACTGTATGGCGTATGCATAACGCCAGGTTAGGGTTAGCGTTCAAAGAACCTCCAATGTTAACTACTCGAAATTCCAACACCACATGTCAACTCTCGTCTTAGAGAAGGTAGAAGATAGGATGAGTCGGCAATTCTATGGTTATGACGTACCTAGGCAGCTTGTGGAGAAGATATATCAGGTTGTTCAATTCAATAGCAAACCGGGTGAGTCTTCCTAGCAGTTGGGCTGCTTTTGAGTTTGAATAGATAGGTCTATGAGACTCACAATATCGAGACCGTTGAAGATACATTTTGACAGACATATCCAGTGATTTTGGATCTCGAATCTAGCAAAGGGAGTTGCACGGTTTAGGGAATCAAGTTGTTCTAGAATAAATCCTGCGACTGCCGGGAGTTACGGGGGACATTGTTCCAATTAGAGCTTTTAAGCAGACTGAAAATATTTGTCGTCAGTTCTTAGTGCATTCAGCTCTCGGTCCTGCGGAGATTTTGACACTGTCCATGTAGATCATTTCACCAAGGAAATGTTGAGCCATGGGGACCTTAAAGAAGCTTACATTTGAACACTTGGCTTTGCTGAGAATGTGCATAGCGCGAGAAGGAAGATTAAAAGTATCACGAACTGGATACTAGGCATGAAATATTGAAAGTGCGTGGGTGGTAGTCAGGCCATTTGAGAGAAGAAAGGTACCAGTGGCATGCATTGGAAAAAGAATAAATTGGGGGGATTGAGTTGGGATGGGGACGAGGAAAACTCGGTGATTCTCGAATGAAATAAATTCTTGTTCAATGCAAAATCTGTTTATGCATGGAAATCTCTCACCAAGGCCAAGATGCTGTGTGTCACGGAAAATGACAGCTTAAATCGGTCTTGCGTCGCTGCCGCAGGGCAAGCATCACAAAAGGCTTCTCCCAAGAGTGGGTAAATCAATACGTAAGCTTGCCTCTGGCTCCTACTAACCCCCTTTCAAAGACCAAGTTGCCTAATGTGCCTTAAACGATAAAATCCGTCGGGATCTCATGGAAATGATAGCTATGAACCTCGTTTAATAAAGCACCGGGAAAGGGGGCTAGTAGTATTGCGAAACACGAGGAATCTGCTCATCATATCTATAAATTGGGAAGATAGAACTTCAAGAGCAAACGGTGGCGAAAGAGGATGGTCAACCTCGCTAGGGGCTGATCTCTGGCACGATCAGTTCGCTCTCTGTCATCTCTGCCTAGGCCTAGCGCGGCTACTGTGGCAATAAACGTCTCAATATCCCGGACTACCCCCTTATAAACCTCCGGGGTATTAAAATGCATACATCGGTGTCTGGAGCCGGCCAGATCATAAAGTCAAGTTAGACAGACAGGGGGTGCCTTGCCAGGCATGACCAAACAGACATACGAGGTGCAGGCTATTTTGGGTGGTCCAACATAAGACCGGCTAATTGATTAGCTATACCGTTTGGGCTCATCCTTCTGCCATTTTGGGCATTACCGAGATCAAAGTTTAATCCCTGCAAATACACCCGGGTTACTCCCCTGACCTATAGATACATAGCCGCCGCAGTCCCCCTCCCCTTCCCTCCCTCCCACTTCAGAAAAGCCATCGTTTCGCCTTCCAACAGCTTTCCAACCTATTTCACTCTAATCAGCTCTATTCTGCCCTCCGACTTGATCCAAACCCGATCCTGGTATGACAGCTCATAACTCCCACCACACACGTACGCTGCTATGTCTGCAAGTCATCGTACGTTACCCTACTGAGTAGCTTGAAAATGTATCTAACTTGCTACCTGCCAGCTTATCTTCGCCTTGAAGTGCCTGACGAAGCCCCATTCGAGCTGAGACCCTCGCTAGGCAAAGGATGGGGTGTTTTCGCGACAAGACGCATTGACCGAGGAGCTCTAATTTTGAGCGAAAAGCCAACCTTTATAATCCGGAGGTCACACACCGATATCACAGATTACCATATTGCTATGGCGTTTCAGCAATTGTCGCCAAGCCAAAAAGCACAGTTTTTACTCCTTCGCGACAACGGACCAAGCTGTCTTACAAGTATGAATAAAGCTTTTGCGGAAAACTCGTTCAACGTCACTTCAGACCTCGACGAGCCCGAAGCTCATGGCCTGTTTCCCCTTCACTCGCGCTTCAACCATTCTTGTATACCTAACTGCAAAGTTCCAACTGTGAGTAGAGAGGTCATTTCAAGCTTTGCGACTAGGGACATTGAGGTTGGCGAGGAAATCAACCTCTGTTATTATTCAGATTTCGAATGCAGGACTAGATATGAGCGTCATCAAGCCCTGGGTTTCACTTGCGATTGCAGGGCATGTCTACCTGGCACGACTTTCCAACAACTTAGCGAACTGCGACGGCGATTGATTCGAGGTCTCCAATACCTAGCACGCGGTGTGGACTTGTATGGGCAGAGACAGAGTCATTCTATTATCGTCGACTCTACAATGAAGTTTGTCGCAGAAACTTTCAGCATCACTCTTTCCGCTAGATTGATTTATGCTCTTTTGTCAATTTTCTTTCTCGAAGAAGAGGGCTTGCTAGATGATTTTATGGACGCAAAGTTAAGACCGAGCTTAACCAAAACGGTGCAACTATTCAAGTCAGAGACCAACCGAGGCGTTGTTGGGCTGGCTATGGAGCAGAACACCTGGGTACAGAAATTGCAAGTGGCATTCAGACTATATGGCCAAGAAGATGCTGCCGATTATGAAGTGAGCCTGGCGCTACGAAAGTTGCGCCCATTTGCTTAACGATTTCCTATTCTTGGAAGCTTGATCATCCATTCTGTTCTATTCTGAAAATGTGCTTTAGACTCATCCATGTATTTGTGTTGACAATCAAATACGAGAAAGGACCTCGCTGTTCATGACGCACAGTGACAAAAGAAAATGTTTGTTCAACAGGTCTACTCCATTTCATCCTAACATGATTACCGTGGCCCTATTAACGGATTGTTTACTGCGGTAGCTCATCGATACGCATTCTTATGTATTCAAAGATGCTGAGCAGGATCATGTTGTTGACGCCGGTTCGAATAAGAATGATGGAGAGGCCCTTGTACATGCTGGATTTGGCGACAGCTTGGGAGGCCTCGCCAATCTCGCTGGATTTTCCTAGCAGAACACTCTGTGCACGAGTCTTGCGCGTATCGAGGGGATAAGTCTATGTGTTCCGTTAGTGTATGATCGGAACAAATCAGTCCGTCGGTCTGATCACATACGCAGAACCAGGGTACAGTGCTGCAAATGGCACCCGCAATCATAGGTGCCCCAAAGGGGTTCTTGTCCTGACCCAACTCCTTGGCTGCTACTTGCTTCACAGTCTCGTAGACACCGAAGTACAGTCCTGAGCCCACCGTGTCACGCAACGCATGCAGGCGGAACCCAGTATAAAGGCCCCAGAATCCATGTCGTCTATAGATCTGCTTGATCGCTTGGATGGTCCCCAAGCGGGGCTTGTGACGCAGAGATTGGTCTCGGGCTGCGTCCGGGGCAGCCATCGCGCGATTTGACACTAGAACAGAGGTCTGGACGACATTCTTCGCCAACTCGAAGGGGCCTGTTTCACTGTCAGCCTGTCTCCTTCCTTCCACGCTTTCATTTGATCAATATGAACATACAAGCAATAGGGGACGCCACCAAGCCAGCGACAAGGCCTGCAGCGGTGAACGTAAGAATGCCCGTCAAGGTAGGAGTGCTTCCAGGCTTTTTATAGTGGTCCAAAGGGTTGGAACCCGTTACGCGTTCAACGTTGTCAGCGATTATGTCCTTGAAGGCATTGTACACGGTGAAGTTGACGACACGGACTACCGTGACACTCGCCAAGGGTGGAAGCGCGCCTTTGTGACAGTCAGCCGATCCTTCAGCTATCGACTCTTGGACCCTGACTTACCAGCAACATAACCCCTAGGCCCTTCGGTGCGCCAGAGATAGCGAACACACTGCCATATGTTCTTGAAGTTATGTCTTTCAAATCAGTTAGCACGCTAGTTCTCATCTCCAAGGTCAATTAGAAAGCTCACGTCTGCATCCGAGTCTTGACGTTCTCTAGAGGAGTCTGCCGAGCGAATCACATCGAATTAGCAAAGTTTAGATGCAGTGTTATAGTTTCAAAGAAATGGTGAAAAATTCAAGCAAAGTCCCGCAGAATCAGGCACTCACCACCGCCAGCGTTGCGCAAATGGTAGACGCCCCCGAAGCCACCTGAGTTTTGTATTTTTTGAGGAGTCTGTTGCGTGTAGAATCATCCATATTCCAAGCGTTGCGGTCTGGCATACTGGCGGTTATTGTGTGGTGAGTTGACGAGGGGAATGGTGCATGTTCAGAACTGTTGTCACTAGTCATTCCGGAACGTTCTCCATTGGCGGCGAGGAATAGCTATAGAATATCTCTCCAGTCTTCACAGAATGCCGAGACTCCACACAAACTCTTATACTTGCAGGCTGGGGAACCCGATGGAACGCAAATCGGTCTCTCCGAACTCGAGTAGACCGTTCAGCGTCCCACAATTGTCCTTTCAACGGGCCCGACCAACCCAGTTCTATCTTCGGTCGGTGGGAGAGTACCCTGGGAGACTCTTGCAATGTATTTTGGCGCGTTTAGATCCGTCTTTGCAGATTATTAGGATAAGTTTGATTTTGGTGGCCGAGACAATTACTGCCACGGCAAAAATGCGACCCCGCGTTCACAAATGGGATCTAGGAGGTGCGGTGCGGGATTGAGCGGTTAAATTGATGTTTTGAAAGAGCACCCTCTTCCACAGATTCGGAATGTTCTTGTCCAAGGTACGTCGTCTATATCAATGGGTTCCTAACAGTGATCGGAAGCTGTGGGGAGACGAAGACGACCATCAGTATATTTGCTTCCCCCGCCGTTCTTAGAAGGACCTAATGGATTCCAAGGTTCTTTGTTTGATGAAGACGACTTACTGACAATATTCCCACAGTATCTCACCAGACAGAACGTGAGCTAATGCTATGTGAAGAAGAGAAGAAGGAAGTGCAGTAAAATGGCATGTGGACCGAGCTCAACTTGGGCGCTCAAAGCGGTTTAGGGTCAAACAGAGTGACGTCTTCGTGAACAGCAGCGTAAAACAGTGGACAGTGGACATCCTCTGCTTACTCCCCGGGTGATGTATGTTGTTGTTTGAAGGTCACATTGCAAATCGCATTGTAGGATTTAGGAATCCTGATCTCATTCTATCGAAAAATCAATCACACCATCTCTAATCTTGGCATCTCTGTGGCACATCTGCCGGTTGTAGTCTGATCATGTCGTGACAACCTTGGGCACATTTCGTGCAGAGACAGGAAGAATGCTTTGTGGAGGTATAGTGTATGCATAGAGCTTGAAAGCTGATCACAAAAGGTTAGACCCCAGATGGTGATTTTGGCTGCGCTTTTTGGAGTTCAGTACTCCATGACCGCCAGGGATTAGGCTCATTGCCACTCACCAACTAATCGCACCCATTGAAACCGTGGAAATATTGTAAGCCAGATTCCATCCTCAAATCAAACCCACTTTCGTATGATTGGGAGAGGCTGCAAATCATTCAGCAATCCAATTTTCCAGCCGGCTTCCTTATTCCCGAACCTGTATAGAGTAGGGAGCAAGGAGCGAGGAGCAACGGTTTGAATGGGGGTTTGCCTCATAACACAGCAATGGACCGCCAGAAAGACTTTTATCGAAAAAAATGCTATCATCTTAGGAAGTAATATGGTACGGAAATCGGTTGAAAGCACTCCATAGCCTCCTAGTGAAGGTTGGAAGTTTGAATGGCTGAAAGGTGGCTCATAAGACGATTTCCATAAATACATCAAGCCATATCAATTCCTGCAAAAATGGATATATGATTGGCCATGCCTGATTTCAACTATGCTACTAGATCTGGATAATAAATTGTTAAAGGGGTTGATTGAGAGTATTTACCTTGTGATCATCTTGTACGTCCCGGCCTCTTTCCACGTGAGAGTCGAGTTTAAATGTTTAATCAATGAACACATGTTCTATTCTTTTTCAGAGCTGTCTCAAAGCAAATGATGTTCAAATAAATCGTCTCGACAATTTTGACACTATGTGAGGGAAATTGGTTCCTCGGGACCTCGGTCTCCCCCCGCAGTTTCATGTTGAACTCCTCACATACCCTAGGGTCGCTCATTCGGATTTATAAGATCTTGCTTCTCGAGTCAGACCCAGAATATTTCTATTTTATCTGCACCTCTTACAATAAGTTCAACCTACATATCCACCATGGGAAAAAAGCAAGGAACTCCCGCCTATGTCCTAGGCGTCGGCATGACCAAGTTCATCAAACCACGCGGCAAGGTCGACTACCATGAGCTAGGCTATGAATCTGGGGTCAAAGCTATGCTTGACGCAAAGATCAACTATGATGACGTTGACCAGGGTGTCGCATGCTACGTCTATGGTGACAGCACATGCGGCCAGCGCGTCTTTTACCAGTTTGGCCAGACCAGCATCCCTATCTACAACGTCAATAATAATTGTTCGACTGGTTCGACTGGCCTTGCCATGGCCCGAGCTATGGTCTCCCACGGTGCCGCGGACTGTGTGCTGGTCGTCGGCTTCGAGAAAATGAATCCCGGCAGCTTGCAATCCATGTACAACGATCGCGAGAACCCAACGGGACTGTTTGGAACGATGATGGCCGAGACGCGGGGTGTGACAAGTGCGCCCGGTGCCGCACAGATGTTTGGAAACGCAGGCGTGGAATACAAGGAGAAGTACGCAACCTTTCGAAACGTAACAATCCATGATCAGAAGGGATGTGATGCTAACAGGTGAACAACAGGTACGGTGCTAAGAACGAGGACTTCGCCGAGATCGCCCGCATCAATCACGAGCACTCCAAGCGCAATCCCTATTCGCAATTCCAAACTGAATACTCACTTGAGCAGATCATGACAGCACCTATGATCCACGAGCCTCTGACCAAGCTGCAGTGCTGCCCAACCTCGGATGGCGGTGCCGCTGCTGTTATTGTCTCGCAGGACTTCCTCGATGCGCGACCTTATATGAAGGAACATGCCATTCTGATCGCTGGCCAGTGCCTCGCCACCGATACCGACACAGTCTATAGCAAGAGCTCCATTGACCTGATGGGTTTCGGCATGTCGCGCCAGGCGTGCCGCACTGCGGTGGCCGAGGCCGGCGTGAATGTTAAGGATATCAAGGTCTGCGAGCTACACGATTGCTTCTCGGCCAATGAGATGATTACTATTGATGCGCTGGAGCTGTGTGAACCTGGCCAGGCTCATGAGATGGTCCGCCGTGGCGATATCACGTACGGGGGAAAGATGGTTATTAACCCATCTGGCGGTCTCATCTCCAAGGGTCACCCGCTTGGTGCTACAGGTATTGCCCAATGTGCTGAGCTGGTCTGGCACCTGCGTGGCTGGGCCAACAACCGCCTAATTGACGGTACTTCCGCAGCACTGCAGCATAACCTTGGTCTGGGTGGCGCCGTTGTCGTGACTGTCTACAAGCGTACTGATGGCAAGGTCGCAGCTGCTGTGCCTTCGGACGTTGTTGGCAAGATCAACGGCTTGGGTTACAACCCAGCTGTGGAGGCCAAGGGATTTACTGCTGAGCAGGCCAAGTCCGTCGTGAGCAAGAAGCACAGTTCTCAGTATGCCCTATCAGATACGCAAGAGCGGGTCCTTGCCAGATTCTAGAGGCATCTGTAAATAGAATTTTGGTTGAACAATTTGGGCATGACTCTACCAACCACACGTGAAATGACATGATATTATATGCATCCCAGTCTATCCCAATCTATATGCTTAAAAATGTTCCAGGTCAGTTCAATAAACGAGTTTCCCAACCTGCAAAGAAATCAAAATCATGAATGCGTCTTCTCCCAATCCTCAGGGAGCTTGTAGTCCTTCGGCACAGCATATTGCCCTTTACAGCTTCCCGGACCCCGACAATTCAAATCACACTTGCCATACAACCGACAATAGCACTCGGAAGCACTGGGACAAGAATCGCGATTCAACTGATCAAGATCAATGCCTCCCTTATCCCCATAGCTCGCAAAAAGAATGTGCCAAAGGTACGAAACAATCCGACCAGCCACACGGTCATCCCCAGGCGCAGCCCTAGACCCCCGCTGCGCATTGCGAGCAACCCCATCATCGCTCCCATCCAGCAGCCACTGCCGAAGTGCTATATACTCGTCCCGCCCATGTTGCCAGATTCGGTCACGGGAAACAACAAACTGCGCACAGCACTGCGCGCGCACGGCATCATTCCGACCAAGGTGAAGATGAAAAGTATTGCGAATCTCTTCGACACGTACGTCAGCATCCCCGCCAAAGATATGGCCAAGCGCCTTTGGTAGTGCTATATCCGATGCCGACCGCGGACTCCACGGCGACACAACGCTCGACAGTCTCATCTCGAGACTGCCTTGCGCTGGCACAGAAAAAGGACACGTGCCGGCGCTCCAGTCGCAGCGCAGGTTGCTGTACCCAGATGGATTCAGCGCGGCGCGGATGTCCAAGCTGCGTAGGAGCGCGGCGTTGTCGTAGTCTGGGATGTCATTGTGCCAAGCCCAGCGGCTGCCGTGTACAAAGACGGCGCCGGCGGATGGTATATCCGCGTAGTTGTCGATCAGAAAGGTTAAGTAAGCCATTGCTTCATGTCCGCGGTTTGCGGGGACTTGGAGCAGCTTGGAGGTTTTGTCTGCTGGCGCGTCCACTTGATATATGCACACATGGTATTGGGTGCGGAGGGGTTCTAGCCAGGACGGGTCGCCGTCTGTGGAGACATGTGAGACTATCAGGGCAGGTTTGGTTGTTTTTGCTAGACCGGGGCAGATTCCGCGCGCTTCCGGGATAATGGATGAGGTTGTTTTGTAGCGAATTTTTGTCCAGGCAAAGAGTTTGTCTTTGGTAGATTGCGGCCGGTTTAGGTAAAGGATGAAAAAGAGAATGCAGAGAAAGAAGACCAGATGTACAATTGACCTTTGTACTTTTCGGCCCATTTTGTATATTTATTCATGCAATAACGTGTGTCCTCTCCTTTCCTTTTGCCTCCAGACTGACATCTGAGATGTTTCGGAACATGTGAGAATGTTGATGCCTTAGGTGTAAATATCACCCCCTTTTGAAAGATCGGCGGGAGAACCACCGATAGACATGGATGTGGATGAGCATGGGTTTTCGAGATACCACTAACTGATTGCCGATGCAGGTATTGAGTCCCTTGGGAAATGGGATGGTATCATCATTGTGCAAAGTAGCCAAGACTTCACAGTCTCTCTCGAGTCATCGATTAGGTCAATGGCAATAAGGCTCGGAGAAAGCAGTCTCATCAAGCAGATAGATACCAGATAGGCGAGCTGGAATTAATAGTCTGGTAACTGAACGATTAGCCAAAAAACAATGCTTTTTGTGTAAGAGAGCTTACACCACCAGGAATCTGCTTTCCAGCGAGCAACGATCCTCCTGGAGGTACAATTCTGGGTAGCATAGCTGAGGCCGCCCCAGTCCATCTAATCCCCTCCTTCACGCAAGCTGTCAGTCTTGGTATTGACTCGAGTTTCGTCATGTCTGTGGTCCAATTCGCAGCCTCTAGGTTCGAAAAAAGATCATCTTGCAAAGACTGGTTGAGAGATACTGCCCACAATATGTGAGCCAGCTGTAGCAAAGGTTGTGTCAGTGCCAGGGCCTAACATCTCCTTGCTTTCTGACAAGGTAGACTGTGGATGGATTCTTTCCCCAGCCATCACCTTCAGAAATGACACCTCTGACGCTTTTTCGGGGTCTGCGACAAGAGTCAACTGCTCGTTTGCCCACTAAAATGCTCGTTAGCATTTTCAATTTATGAGAAGATTTTCAAGCTTAAAGTTGTACACACATCGTCAAACTCCTTGCTTGGGATCGACGAACTACCCCAGCCAGCAACTCGGGAAGTGACTTGACTGATCATTTCATAAAATCTCATTAAAGAGGAAAAGTTGGTGCACTGAAAGCCTCATGTCAGTGCTTCCTTCGAGTCGTGCAGCCATGGTACATGCCAATGACACTTTTGAAGACTTCAAGTCGTTTTCTTTCACGATTTGCAGTTCTTTCCCTCCCCTCAGAGATTCTATTGCCCCAACGGAGTTTCCAAAAGCGAATCTCGCTAAATTTATCATGCATTACGTCAAAAATTTAACTGTGATCACTTACCGAATATTCACTTACAAACGATATCCGCTTCAAGGGCTCGACAGGTGGGTATCAAGTCAAGGGATCCTTGGCTTAGATCTTCAATTGTGGTATTAAACCTCTATATCTCTTCTGCCATCATCTACGTAAGAATGGGCACTTTGCTTCGATTGAAGAGAACACCCATGTGCCGGCGTTGTTGTGCATGTTTGTTGGGATTTCTACAGGGAACTTCTTGTCTTCGCATTGACAAGACACTCATGTAATAAAAAAAGTGAGCTGGGTGTCCATCTTGAACGAACTGACTGTAGACTCGAGAGTCCTTGACAAATGTACTGCCTGCTGCATGTACGCGCTTATAGATATCGAGGGAGTAAAAGGATACTTCATTGGACCTATTCGAACCAAAGGGCCTTTTAAGTCGTCAGACAATGTTGCCAAAACTTGAAGTGCCATTTTTCTTTATCAGCCAGCTAGGGTTGAACATTCCTTCCCCATTTGAAAAGGAGCAAGATTAGTGCTAACAACAAGAAATTACCAAGTCGCTTATGTATTTTGGGCAGTTCCAAAGTCAGTCGTTCTTGATACTCCATAGGGAATCCCCAAAGCAAACGCGATATTGGCGCAAGTAGACTGGCATTGGGATTATGCGATAGAGGAAAGAGGAAGTAGGTATGAATAAACTTGTCAAACAGTCAGTTGGCTCACTCAAATCAATAAGATAAGTCCTTAAGCATACCCAAATAATAGCTCCAATGGCAATAAGGAGGCCCCAAATAAAAATGACATGACCTCTATAATGTCCCACTTGGAGATATAGTACCAGGAGAGATTACTGCCTGCTTAATAAGAACTAACTCAAAGGATCTGTCCTAAAGAAATAACGCATTGCTTCTACCTTCCGTATATTATTCAAGTTTTGAAGAGAATTGCCATATCCTATACATGCATTTTAGCTTTTGCGCCGTGATAGCATCACCGGGGCCACCTGTGGCATAATCTTGGGCCATACACAATGATTTTCTTAAGAAACCGAGTTCCACATTCGATCCTTCAGCCCCATCTTTTAACCATTGATGCTATATTGTGCCAGAAGGGAGCACATAATGCCATTGAAGGTTTTGCTCCAACACGATTTGCCCTTTTTAATTCTAATCAGTCCCCTCAGAGGATGCATTCTAGACCGGTACGCACTTCACTTCTGCGTAAATCGGAGCCATGGCAGATTTTAAGAATCCTGAAGACTCCCTGGTGCAGGAGGTGAATGCTAGAGTGATGAAAACACATTGGTATCGCATCTTTCATCTGCAAGATCTAGCACTGATAAATATCTCTGGTTTTTAAAAAGAGCGTCTAAGATAAAAACCTGTGAGTGAATGTATCATTTATTCGAGAACTGCACACTGACGTGGGGCTTGTTGAAATGAGGTTCTTCACCGCAGTTATGAACTTTTCGAGAATTTCTCAACGTCGTTCAGTATCTATTTCACATTTTCCTCCCACAAGGTCGGTATCTCGCTCTTGGTTATTGACCTTTCTGATCAGCTGCCTGTATTTTGTCGGTGGTGTTCGAGTGACATTAGAAAAAAATGGACGAAGAAGCATACAATACGACTGAAAAATCAATACCGAACATGTATACGACATGGCATCCCTCGAAGTTACAACATCGATGCATCCCCTGGGGGGTGTGTCAAACCTCAAATACGGCCTCCCTAGGCCATAAACAGGAACCTTGGTTTTTGTTATGGTCTAGTGGAAAAGTACGCTGTATTTCGTTCAACAACATTTACAACGGGTATCGCAGCTGGGGGACCATTGGCCTATTGGTAATGATTCAGAACCTGATGTAAGGGCAACGAATATTGCCTAGTTGATGCATATATCAGGACGAGTTACATTGTAACCTGTGTTTTCACATTCATCACAGTGGCTGTAATCCCAGAAGCATGTTCGTTGACTGATTGATAATGATGGGCAATACTCAGTCAGCGGTGAACTTGCATGCTCTCGATGCGTATACTGTCACTATAAGAACCCTGAACTGACTTGGCTTAGGAATTCACTACATTCAATGTCGAATTTCCCACTGATGTTTAAAGTATGAAGTTTCGTGCTATTCAATTGATATGCACCGAAGTTCCGCTGGCTTTAGCCGCGTTGTTGAACCTCGCATCTGGTATGCATCCTCTCAAAGTGGGCCTACGCGGATATTCACATCCCTGAATTTTGAACCGCAGTTGAGCCTTTTTGGCATTGATGCCAATTCCATTCTCTAGCACGGGTATTCAAATATATCTTCTGGTTCTCGACCGGTGCTGTCTTTCTGGATTTCATGTTGAACGTCATTTGGCTTCCCATTGGTGCGCACAACACCTTCGGCCTACGGACTGCCGATGAGGCTTTTATGACTACATTAAACGGAACGGGCGCTCCAGCTGGTTGGAACTGGTGTCTTTCATACTTAGTGACAGCAGGTATTCTGATCGGATTTGATGCCTCCGGTCATGTTGCCGAAGAGACTAAGAATGCCGCAGTTAATGCCGCCAAGGGTATCTTCTGGAGTACATTTGTCAGTGGTTTTCTTGGCTTCTCTGCCGTATTCTTATTCCTTTTCACTTCGGTAGGTCTATCCAGGAACTTTTAATCGAGAGGCCAGAAGCTAACAAATTTCCGGCCGCCAACCGATTTTTTCCTCTCAAATGATGCCCCCAACCTTTCATTCTTCTGTTCACTGCACTTCTGGGCAAAGGTGGACATGTTGTTATGAATATTCTCTCCGTAGTAGTTCTTTGGCTGGTGTGCCTTCTTTTGCTCTTGAACTCCCTACAACCGGTAGAAAATAAATCTGTTGTTGACCTTCAAGAGGACAAAATAAACTAACTATCTGATATAATACCGCCATCGCCAGTGCAGCAGCCTCCCGTCTGGTTTTCGCCGTCGCCCGTGAAGGTGTGCTCCCACTGTCTGGATGGGTATCACAGATCTCTGCGGAGGGCTAACCTAGGAACGCAGTCCTTGTTGTTTGGAATGTGTCTACGGTAGTTACCTGCACTATCCTCCCGTCCGCAGTGGCGTTTACTTCTCTGGTCTCAGCTGCAGGTGTTCCTTCAGCTGCGGTATACGGACTCATTAGCCTTGGAAGGATTGAGAAGCTTGAGGCAAAATGGTCTCTCGGACGACTAAGCAAGCCATTCTAAATCATCTCGGTTTTATGGAATGGCTGGGTTGTCGTGGTGCTCTTCTCGCCGTTTGCGTTTCCCGTTGAGGCCTCTACTCTAAATTGTAAGTGACTTCTGCCACTCACAGGTGTCGGAACAGACTTAGTGATAATGCATACCTTGATGCGCCAATTATCATGGGTATCGTGACTATCTTCGCGCTCTTCTCGTAGTTCTTTACTCCAGCGGCGGCGTGTGTGCCACGGGGCCGGCTTTCCCGCCCAGTTGAGGATGCATAAAGAGTTTTTTACATTGAACTCATGGTTTCATCACTCTTGCGGGTCAGAAACATGAATATGCCATAATGGTAGCATGACAGCGTTGCAAAACATTTCAATTCTTAAGACGTTGAATTCCTTAGATGTGGATGTCTGGATAGACTTTCCGTGCCCGTACCTATATAGTATATATCTCAATTTTCAAACGCAAATTGAGAGATGAATCAAATTCACAACAAATATAGCCAAACAATTTGTTTCACGAGGTCGATGTTAGATTTCTAATTAGTCAAATTGAATTCGAGACGCTGTGTTGATATCAGGAGGCTGGGGGCCCACAGAAACCCGAAGAAGCACGTGATCCCATGACATAATCCACGCTACTGGCCCCGTCGACTAAAATTTTGCGATCGGCTTTCTCTTTCCCTTTCTTTCTTCACTTCAAAACATATACACGGTCCCCAACACATTCTTGTCGATGGATTAATCTCACTCTATCTATACAGTTCAGTTTAGGGACCCAGACCGAAGAATGCTCGTTCTAATCCCGCCCCCTGTCATTCAGCCAGAGGGGAACGGGTTCGCTTTTGAGCCAACATCCCAAAGTCATGTATCGTTCTGAACATGCGATTTAGACTTGCATGAATTTGATGCTTTTGGAACTTGTGCTTGCTCGCAGGGGTCAGTTCTGACTGGCTGTGAACCCTTGATGTGTGGGTTTCAACCCTGCGAGACACTCAGATCCCATGCAGCTTGCATGGTCATTTCACTCCAGACAGTGATGATCATGTATTTCTTATCAACTAACACTTCATAACTAGAAAGATGTGTACAAACTTGGCATCTTCGAAGTCTTGTTCATCAAATCTTGATGTCTGAGGTCAAAAAGATGCCAAAACTAAGCCCTCACAGTTGGACACGTCCTTCTGGAGACTCCCTCGTGTTGCGTCCGCTCCCTCTATGGGGCTGTGCGTGTCAAAGTAGGGAGATACATTCCTTGTAAACTACTGTAAACTGTGAATGGATATTCCATTCCATCAATGCTTTGCGACAGATGGGTACCGCCTTCTGAAATCGGAGAGATAGACAAAAATCCTCCGTTGCCATGGATTGCTGTAGATCAGCATCTCACATCAGTCCGTGCTAGGGACTAGCAGCAACCCTTCATCGATGACCTGCGTATCCCTCACTGCAAGAATTGTCTTCCGGCATTTTGAACGACTTGATTTCCAAAAGAAAGCTTGCGAACCATCAACACGTCCTCGGTGTGTTTGACAACAGCTAGCATGAAATCTGATGAGTACTCGGCCATTGCTGTCAGGCAGGAGTATATATGTAATCCTTGCAACTCTTATCGTTTGGAAATGGAATGCGGCACGATTCATCATAAAGCGTGGACCACATAGCCTTGGCCACTTTACCTCGCTTTGATTCACTTATTCACTATCATTGGATATCCCTTGATTGATGTCACGCTGATCATTAGTTGCGAAGGATTTACTTTGAGGTATGAGTTGTTGACACACGCAATGGTCTAGAGAAGAATTAGTTGAATCGTTCTCTCCCGGCGCAAACATTGTAAATAGTCAAAGGGCTGATAAGACAAACGAGGTTACCATTGTTGATTATCCCAGACGGGAGCCAGAATACCACGCGAAGACGCGCGGTAGCCAGTTGCAACAAGACTCTCCACCCTAGCACCCCTTGGTCTCCCGTTCCCCCCATGAAATGACCGAAGGGGCTACATATAAATCCACCGTAATTCCCTCAGAGCCCTTGGCTCTGTTTCTCTCAGCGCTTTGTCTACTTACAATATTCACTCATTTTTCCTAAACCATCATCACCTACACTAGTTTGGAGACAACCATTTGATCAATCAATACTACACTTACACGATATTTTAACGTACATCAAATTTCGCCATGGCCCGGTTCAGTCTCTCATTTATCTCGATCTTCCTGGTCCTCGCGGTCTTCACTCTCTCCATGCCTACCAAGCGTGATGGGCAAGCCACCACTCAACCGCTTAGCCTCGAGGGCACCGTTAGCGAATTGATGGTTAGTCAACTTTTCCAACTCCCTGACCTGCACGTTCTTAACCTATAAAAACAGCACGCCTCTAAGTTGATGGATGGTCTAGACGTCAAGGACAGCGAAGAGAAGGCGGACAAGAAGGCGGCTATGAAGGAGGAGGCCAAGAATGAGGAAGCTAAGGCTTATTCGAAGCTGGCTGAAAAGACTGGGGCTGTTGACAAGCCCACTTCTGCTGCGACTCCTGCGAAGAAGCTTTCCTCCGGCAATTTTGTGACGCCAACTGCAACCCCCACACACAAGCCCACATCGCAGCCTAACGCCCTGGGCAACCTTCCCATTATCGGTGGTATTCTCGGCGGTGCCGGAGGTGGCCTCTGATTGACCAAGGAACGAGCCCTGATACGAGAATGGATAGAGGGTGTTGTAGAATCTGTGATTAGCACTGCCCTCTTTCGGTAGATGATACCTGGTCCATATTTGTTTTTCCCTCTTTGCGCTTTTTTGAGAGGGGAATGTCAACCAGATCCTTGTCCATTTTCACGATAAATTTGAGATGATTAGTTACATCGCTTGTCCGTTGGAATTTCCTCTCAATCTGCATTAAGTAAAACTTCGTCCGCTTAAATGCTTGTTCGTTCGAATAAGACATGTCTCTTGCATCTTCCATCCGTGATCGCATCACGAGCTCTAGTCGCGTCTTGCCTGTTGTTGACCTTCATGAAGTCCCGTGTAGTATCCTGCATAGTACCATGACATCATGAGGTTCTTCAAGGATTCATCTTGAACTAGAATTATGTATTAGTTACCTGAGCCAATGTGCCCCGAAGGTGGAGCATACCATTTGCCATAATAGGGTGAGGCATAGGCATAGCAGGCGTGGAAACCGCTGAACTGGCATCAGCCACGGGCCGAGAAGGCTTTTTTTCGTCAGCAAGTTTTTTTCAGGAGGCAAGATTAATTGCAATATACCTCGGGAGCAGACTCGGAAGTGTGGTCGTCGACGGTAATCGCGACGTCCTCATTTTCAGGTTGAGTGGCATCATCCTCTGTGGCTTTGGTGCTTTCACCGTCACCGTAGTCTACAGCCGGAGTAGTACCATTGTCCTCGGCTTCTTTCAAGATATCTTCAACATTTTCGCCCTTGGCGTGAATGCTCCAGTAATGCTGCTGTCAGGTTAGATATGGGTCACGTGAATTGGAGATTTAGCGACTGACTTGGTATTCTTCGACAGCATCGTCCCAAGACTGAACCAGGGCTGAATCATCCCAGACTTCCGCGTGTGTCAAGTTCACTCTTTTGTTCTTCCCCATGTTCCTGGCCCATTTGGGTTTGGAGAATTTTGGGTTGTAGCAAGTAAACATCTTGGCGGTGACAGTGGTAATCGGTGGTCGAGGCGGCTCACCGCTTTCCAAGCAAATCAGAGAAGAAAAAAAAGTTTCCCGCAGATAATCGAGCAGCATACAGTCTCCAATTCGACAGAACAAGACATCAAAATGGCCCCTGATAAAAGAGTTTCGAAGCGCAAGGGTATGTGATATGCTTTTAAACAGTGAAATTTCTTTTCAAATCACTAAAACTACTGTAGCTGCGCCTGTCGCCGCCGACTCTCCCGCCAAAAAAACCAAGAAGGTCGAGGCCAAGCCCGCCGAGGCAACCAAGGAGGCTGCTCCTAAGTCCATCTTGAAGAAGAATGAGAAGGGTACCAAGTCCAAGACAGAGAAGGCTGCTGCGCCGGCTAAGACCAATGGCGAGCCCACACGCCAGGTCAAGCCTCGCAAGCGTGCTGCCGACTTCCTCACCGACGAGGAGGCTGAAGATTCTGTCGCACCTGTTCAAGCCGAAAAGAAGGCTGAGAAGAAGCCCGCCGCTAAAAAGTCTAAGAAGGAGGAGGCCGAGCCCGCTCCCGCTCCCAAGAAGGCTGCCGCGAAGAAGGCGGGCCCTAAGAGCAAGAAGCCCGAGCCCGTCGTTGAGTCCGAAGAGGAAGATGCCGAGGCGAACGTCTCCCCCGCTGATGATAGCGATTCCGAGAATGAGGGTGACGATCAGACCGAGGCTCTCATCAAGGGCTTCGAGAGCAGTGGCGATGAGGACGAGTCTGATGGTGAGGGTTACAAAGAAGGTGAACCCATCCCCAAGGCGCCAGACACCAAGAAAGCCGAGCGCAAGCTGGCCAAGCAGCTGCGCAAGAACGGCCCGCCTGAGGAGCCCGGCACTGTTTACCTTGGGTAAGTTTCGACCATGATTTGTGACGAGTTTGTGCCATCTAACATCCCATTCTCAGACGTATTCCCCACGGTTTCTACGAGCACCAGATGAAGGCTTACTTCTCTCAATTCGGCGAAATCACCAAACTCCGCCTCTCGCGCAACCGTCTCACCGGCCGCTCCAAGCACTATGCCTTCATTGAATTCTCCTCGACCACCGTCGCCAAGATTGTCGCTGACACAATGGACAACTACCTCATGTACGGTCACATTGTCAAGTGCAAGTTCGTTCCCAAGGAGCAGCTGCACCCCGAGATCTGGAAAGGCGCCAACCGTCGCTTCAAGGTTACCCCATGGAACCTGATCGAGAAGAAGCGTCTCGCGAAGGGCAAGACACGTGAACAGTGGTCGAAGAGCATTGAGTCCGAGCAGAAAAAGAGACAGGCTAAGATTAACAAGCTCAAGGCTCTGGGTTACGAGCTCGATCTTCCCCAGCTGAAGTGTGTCGACGATGTCCCCATCCAGGAGGCCCCCAAGGCCGTTGAGGCCGCCGAGGCCATTGAAATCACCGAGGCTGCCAGCGAGGAGGCTGTCAAGGCTGTTGAGGCCCCTGCTGCTATTGAGGCTCCTGCTCCTACCGATGATACCCCCAAGAAGACTAAGAAGGGCAAGAAGACAGAGACGCCTAAGGCAGCTACCACAGAGTCACCGGCTGCTAAGTCTACTGTCACCAAGACAAAGGGAAAAGTGACGAAGAAGGCCACCAAGACCAAGTCCAAGGCGTAAACGGGATCATGTTAAAACCGGTTGTAATTTCATTCATCAAGCCTTATTGTTAAATGCATTGTGTCTTTTTTCTTCATCAGCAAATCTTCCATGGTAGTCAAAGCCGAAACCAACGCACTCTCTCTACCTAACTTTGTACCAGTATCTCTAATTACAGCGAAGAAATCCCCATCATTTTCCCTGGCGTTTCTGCTCGACACTCCAGAAGCCGTTCGGAACATCGCAAGCCCTAACCCGATTTCATTCACGCTAGTCCTGACCAAGCCTAGCCCGATCACATGACTAGCGCGAGAAAAATAAAACCCTGCGCAGAAGATTCCGCTTCCTCTCCTTCTCCCAACTCCTCGCTCAAAGAATCGCATTCAAAGCTCACGCACAAAAGGAAGCCTCGCTACCTTTTCCATTCTCGCTTTGGGAGAAAGTCCCCGGACATCCTGCGCTTTGGGTAAAACCAAAGTACTAAGCCAGGCTCTGCGGAAACGCGCCGCCATAGAAGCAATTCGATAGCGGCTTACGCCCTATTCCCTCACGGTACCTCGTGTCACCTGACGGTTACATCTCACGATGTCTCTGGAAACAATGTGGTGTGTGCTGGGTGTTGGAGAGGGGAAGGATTGGTGGTAAAACACCTTTCCTTGTATTGGGTTGCCTTTCGTCATGTTCGGATAGTCATGCGATTGCCTCCTGTCTACTTCCTTGGAAGTAGATGGAGGTAACTCAATGGGGCTCATTCTTGAGGCGAGGAGTTCCATGGTCTTTTCTTTTCAAGAGTCTGTAGCTTATGGCAAAGCGGTGATGAGATGTCGTCTCGTCGCAGAAGCCCTGTCACACGGGCCGGACTCTTCTATCTTGCCATGACTTTTTTCTTGTTCGCGTGATGATATACCAATCATAGAGTCAAGCACAGAGATCCCAAGGGATTGTTGACGATAAACGATTTAAAATTATCTGATGAACATTCTACACATTTTTCCTCAGTTCGAGAAGTTTAAACACCAATGAAAACGTGATTGATTAAACGCAATGTTCATAACAAAATTAAATCGTGGCATTTGACTTCGTATCTTACAACCGGTCTCCATAAAACATAACAAACCTCATGTTTTCGTGTTCACTGTGTCTTCTTGCCCTCGGCACCGAAAGACGCAGCCTCCTTCTGTTCCTTCTTCTGGCCAATCACCTGCACCAGCAACGATCCGAGAACCTCGGCGGCGACCGCAATGGCAGTCGCACAGACATTGCTCCAAACATGAATGCTGACGGATCCCAGAGGTGCGCGAGGGAACGATACAATCCATTGAACATAGTAGGGCAACCATGCCTCGGGGAGCGGGAATACAGGCGTCTTCGAGTACCAGAACTGCAAAAACATCTTCAGCCCGTTTGTGCTGAGCCAGCGGGCGATCTTCACGGTCCAGTCGAAGGAGGATTTCTGCGCAGTGAGCGTCTTGTCTGTGGAGAAATCAGGTTGTTAGCAGTCTAGCAATGGAAATTATAGCGCCCCCTGTAGTCTTGTGGCTGTGACACGTACTCAGCGCCTCGTATTCCTCCATGGTCTTGTCATGTCGTCTCCTGGCCTTGGCCCATTTCGCAAACTCATCCTGGGAGCTTGTGCTGTTCATTTCATGTTTCTGTTCGAGGACCTGGCGCTTCAACTGCTGCTGCTTGCGCGCAGTCCGCGAGGTTGGTGTCGGCAATTTTAGGTAAAGGAGCCACAACTGTTGCCAAAGAGGAGGTGTTAGCGTGTGAAATCACAATCGGGGTATGCAGCGGAGCTTCTCAGAGCCCACACATGGGAGAACTGGACACATACGAGACCGTCGATGGTGCTTGCGCCAATCGTGTTGACTAGGTAGATTGCCACGTGCACGAAGAAGACTGTGAGGACGAGGGACAACATCGTGGCGGCGGTTGGCGACACAGAGAGATCAGGCGTTAAATGCGACGGCACAGACTCCGGCAGCCTGGAAGACAGGAACGATGGCACAGTCTGCTAACCAAGCGAGTCTCTGGTAACTCTGCTGGGCGAGGCAGGAAATGGCCAGGCAAGATGGATGGTTGTGGTTGAAGGAGTGAATGACGTCCCTCGGTGTGGAAATGTGGAAATAAGAGCGGACTTCGTCTTTCCGCCTTCACTGCATCACAGTCTACACCATCTCGTCTACCGCTTTACCTTGGCAAGACATATAGAATACGAAATTAATTGAAAGTGAGAAAACTAAAATGACGAGGTCTTGACAAATATCCCTCCCAATTTCCAACAAATAAACAGGCCCTCAAATGTCCAATCCGAAAGATGCATTTCAGGAACTCGTCCGCATCTTCTCATCTAGAGGCAACCAAGTCCTCGAGATCGAGATCATCCCATCAAGCCTAGGCACTACGTTCCTCCAAGATGGATGCTCACTGGGAATAACCAAGAAAGCACTAGTGCAGGCCTTCACGGTCGCGCGCCAGCTCTTCTTCGACCGATTAATGCCAATGTCCGAAAACGACCTCCAAACCACATGTTTTGCAGACCCCCAGTCCAGAAATGCAGACTCAGCTATAACAGAAACTATGCTTCTCTTCGACTGCGAACATCTCACAGCCTGTAATTGGCGCAAGCGCCGCCTGCAGGCAGCCTTGGTGTATTACCATGGTACTTCAGACCAGATCTCCGCTGCAACGGAGCTGTTAGAAGCCGAACTCACGCTCATGTCGAGCTACCAGTGCTCGCCACTCCATCGGCATACCAAGTCACCGACGCTCTGGCATCATCGGCTGTGGGTGGTTGTCCATCTGCTTGAAAGACGGCAATGGAGCCCTGAGGATCTGCACAAACTGCAATGTACGGAACTGGATGTTGTTCTCCGCGCTGGAGAGCTGCATCCAAAGAACTTTTATGCTTTCAGCTATATGCGACAGCTGGATGTGCTCCTCGCCGCTATAGTGGGGAAGACGACCGGGCAATCCCCATGGGAAGCCCAATCGGCGCAGTCGGTTGTCAGACGGGTGGTTGCCTGGTGCTTGGCCAATCCACGCGATATATCAGGTTGGAGCTTTGGCCTCTATGCGCTGAGCAATGTCATGGAGCAGCATAGTCGAGTGGATGCTATTGAAAGAGTGGTCAAGTTTGCGCTAAACGTTGGGTGGGAAGGCGAGGGCCTTTGGACCTTTGTGGACCACGCATCCAGGCAGTTCGGGCTTGAAAGGGTGATTGAGGCTACCATGTTCTTACAATGTGATGAACAAACCAGATCTCGTGATTCCCAAATGGTTCAAGACAGTCGTCAGAAGAAGTCATGGCAGATCTGGCTGGCAAGGGCGAGAGTATTTTGGATCGTAGACGGCCAAAGGCAAGATACCTAACCGGATGTGATGTGAATTTATCTTTGCGTTTACAAGTTTACAATTACCACCAAAAATTGCACCTCCATGATATTTCTCATGTAGTCGTTGCCTCGATCGGTTAGCGCTTTGGTATGCATGCATGCGCTAAATATATGATGAACGCCAATGAGATTCAAATGAACGCCTCGCTAGACACAAAGCCCCCAGGTTTTCGAAATTCGGGCATAGGCAAATGGTACCAATCTTATCCACGAATCCAGCGCCGTCCTTAGCTCGTGGTGCACTTCGCCATCCTACTCGGTGGGTTGTCTGTTTCGGGAGATCGCGAAAAAGATGGAGAGAGATGAGACTGACTGACGGGTGGGATTGAAGGATAAGGCGCATTATTTTTTGCCTTTTCCTGCTGCAGCATCGGCAGCTTTCTTTTCATCCGCTGTAAAAGAGGAGCGATCAGCAAACCAGTTCCATGGCGGCGTTGAACTTGCGCCCAGCGCCTTCGGGGATACACACCCTTCCTCTGCTTCTCGCGCATGATGGCAGCGGCGTCTTCCTTGCTCTTAGCAAATTCGCTACCGGTCTGAGTGTTCTTGTTCTTCTG